GCCCGCCCCCGCGCACGCATGAATGTCCGCCGGGCCTGTCTCATTGGCGTGGCGTGCCTAATTGATTCCGCGCGCCAGAGTTCTGGGTTCCGTGGGTTGCTTCGGTCTTTGTTCTTCTCCATCATCTCGACGGCAGCCGCCAAGGCCAAGGGGCGGGCGCTCCGTGCCTCAGTCGCTTTTTTTTTTGCTTTCTCTTATGTTTCTACTCTGTGCCTGTGACTGTGCTGCTATCAAGGAGGGGTCGCCCAAGGGGCGACCCCGGTTTCTTGTATATATTATAGGACCGTATTCTACTACTGAGCCATTCTAATATTCTGTACTTGTAGTGCAACCACTTCTATTGTGAGTCGTGTTCCCTTGAGTCTTTCTCTACCCTAGACGGGCGTGGTGAGAATTTTCGTGGTCCAACTCTCAGCAACAAGAATAATTGCGACCCGATTCCTAAACGCTTGTGCATCCTCGAAGTGAAGCCATGCTGGTTTTTTTGCTGGAAGTATCAACTCTCTCTCTCTGAGATGGGAAGAAGAACGGTGATATTAGTATAATTCTCAGACCATAAGAAGTATGCCCTTTTATCAGTTTGTTCCTTGCTTCTGTTGATTACAGTCACTGTTCCTCTCTCCGCTCGTGGTGCAATTTGATTGTTGGTGGAGAGTCGCAGAAGTTGGTTGTCGCGGCAAACAAGAGTTTCTATACATGCATGATGAATAAGGTCAAGGTCCTACTTCTAGGTAATATCAATTTCCATAAAGTCCTCCTCGTCGGTTTTTTCTCTTTAGCAATATCCTAGTCTGGAGTCTTCAGATATTTTTCTATACTACTCACCAGAGGCAGAAGTGGGCTATAACGTGTTATTCTCAGGATGCTCTGCTTTTGGCGATAATACTTGTTCTAGGGATATGCTCACTCCTACAACCTCGATACTCACTTACACGCTGTCACGAGTGGCGCATTTGTCGTACTACTACCTCATGAATCACTTACTAGTACTTATGGCACTAGTGCGTACTACGCTATTTCCACTTTCTGATTTTTTCACTGATTAATCGCATTTGTATGATGTGACTAACAATCTGTCTAATTTGCTGCTTACGATGTTTTATCCAGGTGATCTCATACTTATATGTTCTATAATTCTAGAACTAGATGCTACGTGCAGAGTTACTCGGTTACTGTCTATGCCTAAGTGCTACTTCGTCATGGAATTTAACTGTTTTTTATGCGTGTCATCAATTGATAGTAACTTTTTGTGTTCAGTCCTGTGCAATATTGGTGTCGATACTCATGACGTGGACTTATTCTACACAACAAATTTTATGTACAAGTTGAAATTTTCAAAATAACAGAAGGAGCGCACTTATGCCTAACTCTACTTAATATTTGACTTATGAACGGCTCGAAGATTTCGTTTTTATGTCTCGGTCTTGTTGTATCAGCATCAGTAACAAACAGTATGGTCTCTATCTACTCCTACCCAACTATCTACTACTACCCAAGTCCGAGAAGTAGTAGAACATCTTTATTAGAAAAGGTAGAGATAGAAGCAGACGTATCTTGGATAAGGATATCTCTAATCCAAGTAAGGCGTATCTTGGATATCTCTAATCTAAGTAGTACGCACGTAGATCTTGTTCTTCTACAACTCGTCAACACCTCAAGGTCTTCTTTTAATCAGTCTTCGCTGCGCTCGCTGCTTTAACATTAGCCAGCAAAGTATTTCCGAACCCCTTGACGACGTCACCTTCCTCGTCAGTGTCCTGGTCCAAAGGTGCGGCTCCTTCGGGAGCTCCTCCAGGAGAGGTAGGCGACGCCAACGAATCAGCGCGATGCAACAATACTGCCTTCAATTTCTTTCCCTGCGCGATGCCATACTTCTGCATCAACTGTATGGAGTGAATGAGGAAAGAGTGAGTCTGAGAATAAAGAGAAAAGATATATATAATAGTGGTGGTGGAGCCAACCTAACTAGAAAAAAACCTAAAACAACAAATGGTGAATGTGCAAACTTTAGGTAAAGAAAACTAATGGCCATGCAAATTAGGATCCGCATATATTTCTAGACGTCGCGTGTGCAAGAGAATCATGTTTTCATCTGCGCAGGTGCAGTCACTTCTTGATAAAAAAAACTCTTGAAAAGTTTTCTTTGTTGAATCAATACAGAAAGATTGACGTTCTCGAAGGTGACCTGAAGGCCATTCACCCTCACCACTTCTTCCAAATCAAAAGTTCAAACAAAATCAGGTAAGAAGAACCTTTTTGAATTCCGCCTCTTGTTCACCAGGCGCAATGAGGTTTTGGGCACCGTACGTGCTTACGCCGTGCCACAAGGTCTTAGCGTAATTCTCTTCTAGAACGCTATCCATCAGCTTCACCATCCTATGACTGTTATCCTTGGGTATTTTCCACGAAGCTATGCGCAATTCCTTCGTGAGGAAACGGAAGAAGCCTTCACGCGTCCACCTCGGAACCTTTTTCCTCTGGAGACCGCCAGGACTGCGCGGTTGGGAAGCAGGGCTCGCAGGCTGCTCCTCGCCTCGCTTCCCGGTTGTGGGTGAAGCAGCGGCCACGGGTGCTCCTGTCGTGGTGAGTAGAATCAACATGGAGAGATTGGTGCGTCGAATGAGTAAGAGATGCACGAGTCATGCACTAAGTAGACTAAGTCGGAGCACCTCGTGATAGAAGGGACCACAAACAACATCAAAACAGGAGCAAAAGCAAAACAGTACTACAAAAACATGCTTATAATTGAAGTGCAGCACTCATTATTCAAATGCATCAAAATACCTTTCCCACCCTTTGCCGCAGTCACTCCAGAGTTATCAGGACTAGTTGGCTGCGTGGTCCCTCCGAGTTGATCTCCCTTATTCCAGCTCGTTCCTGATTCTGGAGGAGTGGTGTCCTCTTCATCGTCAAAGTCGTTTTCCCTCAGACTTGCCGCCAAACCTCCTGCAATCTTTGCTTTTTTCGGGCATTAGCAGGGGATATGGAAGAAAAAAGTGTACTCAAACTCAAAAACGATATTTAAAAATTTTATTTAATTTAGTGTTTAGATATTGAGCTAGCTAGTTAAAATGGAGGCCAGAGGCAGCAGATTCGGTGGCGGCGTGGCCGTGGCGTGGAATGTATCACAGGAGACGAAGGCTCGCCTGTGTCAGCTGATAACGGAAAATGCAAAGCCAAGTCCCAAGATCTTTTATCATGTTGAAATGTGGCACCACCTTGGTGCCACAACGAGAATGACAAAAGGATCTTGCGACTTTGCCTTGCATTTCGTCATCATCAGACACAGGCCACCTTCATGGTCTACCTGAGGATCCTCCACGCCGTGGTCCACGCCGACCCAGGAGTCTGCCGCCTCTGGCCTCCAGCTTAACTAGCTAGTTAAGTATCTACTATCTGCTAGCTTCTAATTTAAATTTTTATAAATCGGTTTTCGAGAATGAGTATAGTTTTTATTTCCATAGGGGAGAAGTTCGTTCTATCACTATAATCCTATAGTATAGTACTTGTCTTGTTCATCATGAGTTACTTCTTCATCACTAAGTAAACAACTCGTCCATGCAAACTCTAAACAAGATATCAAAACTAGGCTTCAACAAGATATATGATAGAGATTGATATCCATCCATGCATGGTGGAACAAATTCAAATAATCACAATAGTCCAACAGCCTTAACTGAATAGCGCAGTCATGCCCATGCGGTATTTCCAATACCTCGAATCCATCATGTTCGCCTCCTCCATCTGTCTTGCGTGCTTCGCTAATGGCGAGTAGAACATGTCCGTCTCCTCTCGCGGATTATATGGCGGCAGAAACTCCACGATTTCAAGCTGCTGTGCTTTTAGCAGCTTATCCGCCGTTTCCTGACCGTACTTCTCGACCAATGCTTCATATTTCCTCTGTTCCTCTGCATCCTCCTCAGTGAGATTGCTAGAAGCGACGCTGCCTTTTTTCTTCAGCTTCTTGCTGGAATTAACGCTAGTCACCCACCATCCGTGATTCTTCTAAGTACTCAACAAGTGGAAGATCCCCTTGATCGTTCTCCCTCTTGAAACTACTCGTCCCCTGAATAACTCCTGCTACGTACGGGGAATCCACTCAGGAGGAGAGATTATACCTCACAACACCGGATACAAGTGCCTGTGACTACTTACTAGCCGTAATGGAGGTAGGTCGTGAAGACGTTTCCCCAGGAGCAGAATCCTCGTTCTCGTTGGCAGAGGCGGATGCAGAAGCGCTCGAAGATGATTCGCTCTCGTGCAACAAAGCCCCTCTGAGAGTCATATTAGCTGTGCCACGCAATAGAAGCTCGTCTTCGTCCACAAGAGCAGCTGCTTCGGCTTCCTCTCGGGCTGAAGTGTTCGTTGTATTGTCATTGTCATTCCTGTTTCCATGTTGTAGTACATCAATCAAAAATGAATAGCATGATCGTAAAAATTCATGTAGTTGCGTGTGCTCGTCTGACCTGCTCAACATCAACTACTCCTAAAATCTCTCCTAATCATCTAACGACCCGGCATCAAGATCACAACTATCAAATATTAAAAATCAAGTTAAAAAATTGCTATTCTCTAGTTAGTACCTCTTGCTTCTCTTTCTGCACGATGCCTGTCTTTTTCGAGTTTTTTCACTCGTCGCTTCGCATGCTTGAGTTCGTCTTGCGCCACACGTTCGAGGCGTTCTCTTTCCCGTCTCTCCTGCTCCTTCTGGACCCTATAGAATCCTGGCACCATTTCTTCCCTCAAAATGTGCCTATGCTTGTGACTACGATCCCAGCCGTGCTTGAAATCTTGCTGGGCCTTCGTCTCGCCCAATTCCTCGACTGATTGGAAGAAACCGGCAGGATCAATCACCTCTGCCTCCTCACGATGCTCTTTCCAAATGTACCTTTTTAGTATCATTTGTAGAAAAATGAATATTTTTAGGTATGGAAGCCCTCCAGCGTTGTGATAGTGCTTGATGATGTAATTGGTTGAGTGTCATTTTCTTTTTAACTGATGTTGAAAATAATAACAGAAGTATGCACTACTTGAGGTAACAAAGCGAACTTCAACAGGTATACAAAAACTTGGTGAAGAATCGTACGATGTTAGTTGAAAATACTAAAAAAGTGTTGCTGAACTCACCGTTCGAACTCGAGGAAGAACAAAAGGATTTAATATTTCCATCATGTAAAAGTAAGTACCTCAATTTTTTCCCGGTGCGCTTATCCCTGGGAATCATTTGTCGTTCTATTTCTTCAGCGCTGACAGCCTGGCCCATTTTTTTTCCTGCTATCGCGTTCGGGTTCATGACCGCTGGCGCTGCACTCTGATCTCGCACGAATACGATTCTGTCGTTGTGCGTCACCGGAGGCGCCAGGACTATCGGCTCGTCTACGAAGAGCTGCTCGTAGTGCGCCAGTTCCTCCGGATCCGTCGGCAGTTCTTTTCTAGGTACGCGCTGCCGCATCTCCTTGTACTCTGGTAATCTCGCTAAATCTTTCAGCATCTGGTTGAGCAAGAAGGCGTGGTTCTCTTCTTTCGCACGCCCCAGTCCTCCTCCTAGTTTTTTCTGCGTATCGATCAGCTCCGAGGGCTTCTTGAGGTACATGCGGATCTTCAGCTCGCGTTCGAATCTTCGGACGCTCTTTCTCCGCAGCATCGGGTACGCCAGCTTATGCGAGAAGTACAGTCTACTGTCGTAGCTGTGTCCTGGATTCTCTTGTTCGATACAACGTTCCTCGAAGATCATGCGGCTCACTTGTCGGTGCAGTCCGGCTAAGACGCCGCCGAGTTCGCGCCGCCGCTTGGCTTCGCGTTTCAAGGTGTCCTTCATGAACAAAGCGTTGCGTCGCTTCCTCTGCAACTTGCGCTCACGTTCAGTTAAAGAACGTGCCAAGTATTTCGTCACACTAGGGAACGTATCCACGGTCTTGTACGTATTGCGTGGCTTAGAAAACTCCACTTTCGAACTCGGACCCGCACCAAACGCTTCAGCCAGACTGCTCTGCGTCTGGTTGCCGGTGGATTAGAATCAACTATTTGGTCGAAATCTCATTCAGTTTCAGACACCTGACAGAATCAGAATGGGAGTCTTCAATGTAGTGAATGAAGTCGAAGACTAAGAATTAATCATCTAGTACCTTTTATAGGAGTTATGTCGTGCAGTTGTGTCTCAGAAACAGAATAGATGAGCGTGTAATTGAAAACACAAAAATGGTTACCATCTTCATCAAGCAAGAAAAATAATATCTTCTTCTAGTACAATGATCAGTAATTATCACGTCTGAAAATCATAACTAGCAGCCGCGTCTTTGACGCTTCCTGCTGCACTGGGTGATCCGCTGCTTCGTTTCTGTGCAGTAGGGCTCCGCATGCGCCATCGATCGCCGATTGAGCCAACTAGATTGTCTACTCGCATTGTCGTCAAAAGACCAAGCACTGACTTCGTCTGCCTCACTTGCGGGATGAAGTCTTTTTCCAAGCCGAAAGCAACGCCATCCTGGCGGTCGTACACTCTTTCCCTTCGCCATGTTAGAACTTCATCTATCCGTACTAGTACTCGTTCATCTTTCAACTGCTGCATCCTTGAAGAGAAGTATCCTCGCATGGTGGAAATACTTCGCTATAGATACTTTTCAAGGATGTTGTAGGCATCAAAATTGACTTATACATTCGTATATGGAGAGCCTTAACCGTTGGTCTAGCACAGCAGCGCGGTGCTCCCTCTCCGCCGGCTCGCGCAATTCCTGCGGAACATGTAGCATCGAATCCTTGAAAACAGGGAAGTTGCGTCCCGTACTCTTCGGTGTGCGGAAAAAAGTATGATTCTTCGTGGTCTTGCAAAAAACAAACGAGTCGCTAGATGTCGTGGATGAAGTATTCTTGTTCAACATCTTGGGAGATGATGGTCTGCTTTCACCTCCTCCGTTAAAGAGTTCTTGAGGACTACCCGTGTCACGCCCGAAAGTGAACTCCACACTCTTTTGTTGACGACCTTGAACAGTCTTGTTCGAGGAATGTTGACCTCCTACTGCTCCTACATTCTTGATCGAGGACGTGCTAGAGCTTGTCATGGACCCGCCTCCTGCATGTTGAAATTTGGAAGAGGACTGTCCGGGTGATGTTGGCATCAGGCCTTTGTCTTCGCGCCCACGCCGTAACCGACTCAGCATCCACGCATATTTTACGCTCACTCGTGGCTTGCGCACGAGGAAGTCCAATAGTCGATCCCGGAGTAACCTCGGTAACACGGTATCGTCGTTGTCGGTCAAGTCGCGGAAGAAAGGTAAAATGGTGCTGTTGCTTCCGTCGACGAAGGTGAAGCTCGTTTTGCTGGAACTCATCCTCGTCGTGTAATTAATATTGTTGTTGTTGTTGTTCCCGCCAAACGAGGCGCTCTGGAAGGATTGCTGCGTGTTGAAGAAGCCCCCTGGAACGCCAAAGGTCCCTCCGGCAGCACCTAACTGCGTAGAAGACGACGAAGAGGACAGGAAGGTGCTTTGCATACTTCTGCTCTCCTGTGCTCCTCCCATAAAGGAGGTCATAGAGGTCTCCATTGGCATTGGCATTTCGTTCTTCGCACCAGCCAAGGTCGTCGACCCCGCGAAGGAGCTACTGGACCAGCCCATCTGGTCGGACGAGGAACCGGGGAACATCGTACTTCCGAAGGTACTCCCCAGGGCGCTTCGAGAACCGTCTGGATTCATGTTGCCACCCATCAACATGGTCGAAGATGAGTTGTCTACTCCATCGAGGACCTTCGCATCGTTATAGTAGACAAATGTCTTCCCCTGGGCCACTCCACGATCCCACAGCGTCATTTGCTGCGCCGCCGAAAGACCCAGACCGCTTTGCGCCGGGTCCGTGCGTGTAGAGTAGTTGTTGTTCTTGCCGCCTTTATTTTTGTTATTTTTTCTTTTATTACCCATCGTGATTGGACTAGAACTTCTGCTGCCAGCTGTATTCTTTCCAGACTTGCCTCGCGAAGGACTTTGTCCTCGGTTCCTTCCACCGCGTTGATTTGGTGACTTGCTCGTTGTGTCTTCAGCCCCTGCGGAGGCAGTCGAGGGATGGCTTTCTGACGTTTCGGGTGCACTGCTTACCTGCTCATTGTTGTTCCGTCGACTCTGGCTTCGCTTCACCTTTGGAGACCCTTGTATTCTGGCTTGCGCCCCGGGCATAGATCCGGGCTTCGGATCTATGGCTGTGTCACGGCACTTCTGCAAGACACGCAGGAAGTGCTCGGAGACACTAGGTTCCTCTGGTTCCTCGTTTAACAGCGTGGTCGCTGACCGCGGTCCAGCAGGGCCGTCAGCACCCTGCTGTTTGCTCTGCCTTAACGCCATCTTTGCCATCCTGCTCTTCTCCTTCATGCTGTTCATTTTATTGACCTCCCGCCTGCTGCGGATCCCCTGGGCGAGCGCCTTGGCTTGCACGACACTCGCAGGGCCTTGAGCCTTGTCGCTGTGGTGCTTTCCGTCGGGAGAGGGTGACTGAGATAACAACCCAGCAGCAGAAGATGAATGCGTCCTGATATTTAGACCACCTTAATAAAGATATTCATCTTATAAAGTGCATTCTTGAATAAATCGGTCTGCCCAAGCCCAAAGATGCCTCTTAAGATGAATTACGGCAAGCCTTAACATATTCAATGCCTTCTTCGGCGACTGCTTCATACCTGCGCCACGCGCTGCTCCTGTCAGAGATGCTGGCACCTCTACTTGGTTCGAAGGAGAAGAAGCGTCTTGATGGTCACCTACTTGCGCGTCAGCTGCGGCCACCCTTGCCTTCTTCACAACTGGAGGCGCAGGCCTCATGCGTTCCAATCGCTCCTTTGCACTTTGCTCATCGAGAGCAGTACGGAAATTTTTGCGTTCCGGTGCCTCCAATCGCACGTTCACAATCACGCGACTGACATGCGAAAGCTTTCTCTGCTTCACGCGGTCCAAACTTTCTGCGGACGTCTTCCTCTCGAAACGCATATGCTCACGATTCGCTTGCTCGGCCACGACAACTTCTCCTCCTGTGTTACCTCCACCAGGACCACCTCCCGATGCTGGAACAAGGGCTCCTGCGACAGCAAAAGAGGATAGGCCAACACCAGCAACAGCTCCTGCACCTTGCTCATCCTTGTTGGCCTCAACAACATCTTTTGGCTTTCGTGTGACGATGCGGCCAATGTCATTTGCTCCAATCGGCACGTCTTGTAACTCATTCAGCTGTCTTACAGCTCGCCCCATGGCTTCTTCCACTGCAGCAGCTGAATTGGTAAGTTGCGTCCCTCCCGGGGGCGTGGCCGCGCGCATACCCGCTCGAAAGGTAGCCGCAACTCTTTCGGGCGATGTCACCTCTGCATGATCTCCGAACACGACGCGGGCTTCGTCCATATTAGTGAAGCCCTGCGTAGACCAAAGCTGCAGCTTTTGCTCCAGATCGCTACGGCGCGCCTCCTCCGTCACCAGCTCGACTTCGCTGCCGGCCAGCAGCGCCGCCTTCCCGCCCTTGGCCCCTTTTTAAAGGTTGAAAAGAAATATTTCATATTCATTTTTAGACAGCAATTATGCTATAAGTATAAGGGAGAAAAGTATCTATAACGTTGTAGAAGTGATAGTGAAATGTTTCAACGAATCCTTAACTTTTGTTGTTCTTGGCGCCCGTCGCGAGCGAGTAGTCGCTGAAGCCGAGCATCAGCCGAGCTTGCATCATGCCCTCCAGACCGCGCAAACGGCTCAGGTCGGCGACTAGCGTCGCCAGACTGCGCGCGACGGCCCACACGTGCTCACGGCACTCGTTCACGTGATGCGCGATGTTGTCTTCTGCCTTTTTCCGGTGTTGCGCGATCACTGCCTCCAGTCGGGCCGTTGTCGTCGCGTGCACGCCAGCCAGATGCGGCGCGCCGCGGTACTGGTTCGCCGGCGGCTTGCCTCGGTGCATCTTGCGATCCAGTTTCTTTTGCATCGCTTGCTGCTTTATCAGAATTTCCGTGATCTCCTCCGCTGTGTATCGACCGGTCCGCTGCAGCTTCTTGCGCTCCTCCGTATCTTCCCATGGAGCGTCGAACCAGGTACCTGCGATCGAGTTCACCTGCTCCACCAAGTTCTCCACTTCGCCCAATCCGTCATTGGCTTTGTCCTCCGCGTCCTCCAAGGCGCGCTCTAGACCCTCCAACGCGTCGCGCGGGTCCCCGAGGCCAGCGCGCTCGAGGTACTTACCGAGAATCTCCCATGTGCGGTCGACGCCGTCGTCGTACACTACAATCTCCTGGTCCCCCATCAAGGCCTCGTGTTCGTCCTCTACTTGCGCTTCCCCGCTACCCGCCGCAGCAACTTTCTGTAGCGTAATCAACGGCTCCTCGAACGACGAAGAGCTGCTCGACGACGCAGGAGACGAAGAAGACGCTGACTGAACCTGGTTTCACGAGAAGGAGAAAGCGAATTATATATAATGATAATAATACAAAAGGCTGGAAATACAAGAACAAACTAGCATATTTTTAGGGTGATGAAACACGACGAGTAGAAGAAGAACGAACAGAAGCAAAACAAGATGAACTAGAAGTTCGACCACTCATTTCAATTTCTGCAGAAGTACTAGAAGAAAGACAATTACTTACTCACAGTCAGTGGAATATGGACAACTGCAACAACAGATGAAATCCAAAATAAGTTTGAGCTGTGTTGTATGCGTTCCGTAATTGTACCGCAACAGTATCTTCCTCGACGAAGTCGGTTATGCCTGCAACTTTGCGGTACAGGTCTCCCAAGCCATCTCTTGCTATGAGGTCCATGTCTGACAAATCGAACTCGATTTCGTCGAGTCTCGCATCATCTAACGCATTCTCTGCCTCATTCTCCTCATCGCCATCAGGCCCACCCAATTGTTCCAGACCTTTGTCTGTCTCCACGACCACCATTGCCGTATCTGCTAGACTGAAGTCCCGGAGAGGCCTGTCCTTTCTGATTTCGTTTATCTCGTTCGCACTACCAAGTACGACCTGGGACTTCGCCGGAGAAGCGGCGGCTGGTGCACCGCCGGCATCTGCACCTTGATCGTCCTGCTTAGCTGGAGGTTCGGGTTCCACAGCATCACCACGCGCTTCTATAACATCTTCCTTAGCTGGAGGTTCGGGTTCCACAGCATCCGTCACCGGTTCTTCTGCGGACGTGGGACCATCGGCTTCGTGCCCACCTTCGGTGTTTGCGGCCTCCGCTTGGTCAGGCACAGCATCTGGCGGCGCCTCGACTTCCTCTTGCGGCGTAGATTCTTTCTTTTCTTGTCCAGCAGTCGCTTCTGTGGCACCCGCTTCAGGCGTAGCAACGGGAGCTGCTTCCTGATGCTCTCCGTCGGCAAGAGCCTTCGCTGCATCCTGATGAGTGGCCGCTTCAGCTGTTACAATAGCAGGAGGCTCTTCTTCTGCTGGTTTCTCTACAGCTGCTACTGCTGCAGGATCTTCCGCGGCTACCTGCGCATGATCGCCTTCAGCTTGTGGCGCGCTTGTCTCTTCTGCATGTTCAGGGTCGGTCACGTCGGCACCAGCTGGAGCATCGCCAACTGGTGCCGGATCATCGGATACTACAGGAACTCCTGGCGCAGGTTGTTCACGTTCACCTGCAGTTTCACCACCTGGGGCCGCGGTGGCATCGGCAGATTCCGACTCGGCCTCGGCTTTCGTGTCGGTGCCGACATTCTCTGGTGCAACAGCTGCTGCCTCAGCAGTGGCATCGGTAGCTTGATGAGCAACGCCATCTGCTGTAGCAGCCTCTGTCGTACCTGCTGCTGCTGCCTCTGCCGACCCAGACGTGACTCCAGCTCCGTCCGCAGTTGGCATCACAGGTTGCGCAACGGTGGATGCAGCTGCAGCAGCGTCTCCCGCGGCTGCTGTCGCTGCTTGCTGTTGCTCCCCAGCAACGCCAGGGCTTGCTGCAGCTGCATCAGCTCCAGTGAGTGCAGCTCCAGCAGGACGTCCCAATTTGCCCAATTTCACGATACTCTGAACTTTTGCACGTAGACGCATCCAATTGTGACGCACACGCAATAGACGATCGATCTCTTTCTCGCGCAACTCGTTCTTCACTTCACATGCATGAAGATTGGGCTTCAGAAGGGTGAGAGAAGGAAGATCAACCTGAAAATTTAAACCACAGTTCGTAGTTGGTTATTAACTACATGTACATGTAGGGTAGTAACAAAAATGAATTTAGATGAACGAAATTGATCAAGGACGAGAAAGCAAACAAGAGAGGAGTTACACGACAATTGTGGTTTACATGATTTTCCTTGTGCGAAGAGTTGCTTCGTCTTCGTCCGTAGTCTGTTCTTCGCTTCATTCTTTTTAATAATGTAAGTACTAGTACAACATTTTTAACATTCATTTTCACTGGAAAGAATCCGTCATCTACATCATCATCTACAGTGCTTTCGCTCTAGTACTTAAAATTGTTAAGTACCTCCATAGTGGTCTAGCATTGTCTATCTTTCTACGGGGGACTATGACTAGGTGTCTGTTTTTTGATGCCATACAGATACATCCCTGTGAACTGTGAGCACATGGTGTCGAGGAAGCTCCGGAGAACTCGCTTTAGGCGTCGTTCGACCACAATCTGGTTCCTTGCTGCGTATTCCGTCGCCAGAATCTCGCGCGCAGTGCAGGATACGTGCACGATTTTGTCGTACCAGACGCGGTCTATATCGTACATGCCCGATAGGAGCTTGATCTCGTCCATTTCCAGTCTATTTTCACTTCTCTTGATGATTCGGATCATCTCGAACAAAAAATCCGTGATGGCAATGGCATACTTCGCGAATTTCTCCGTTTCCGGATTGATCACCGGCGACTTCGAAAGCGCTCCAGCGGCGTGATCCTCTTTCGTCTGCCGATACTGCGAATCCATACCAGCCGTCCCTTGGACCACCACAACACCTTTCGGCTGTGCCTGGGCTGTGATGATCTTAGAAGCCAACACGCCTCGCAAGACGTGCGCTTCAGCCAGATCGAGCGCGCGGTGAGGACGAGAGACGACTGACCGGAAATTGAGAGGAATCTCTTCGCTTGAAAACTTCTCGGCTAGGAGCTCCTTGACCTGACGAAGATCGAGATTCATCAAGTAGATGAGGAGAGAGGGCGAGTTGGGACTACTGCTCAACCTCGAATTAACGTAAGTAAACGAAAGTCCGAACCACGTTGGACTTGGATCTGGTCATCGTCCGATAATCTTAAATTAACTTCAAAGCTTCTACTTTCTCTCCTTCTGTTACTACCTACTGTATATAGTTATGAAGTTGTAACCCAGATGTAAGTGATTGTTGATCATGAGCAAGTCCAGCCTGAAGTGGTTGGATCGTATCGCCCTCATGTTCATCGCCTTCCTGTTTCATACCTACTGTAGTATGATCTGTAAAAAAAGAAGTCAATACCATTTCCATCCCTCGTAGGTCATTTCTTGAAATGTAGCTGGAAGCCAGCGTAGCCATGTAATCGCAAGTATAGCGATTTGGATCGACTCGACCGTGATCGTGGCCATTCAAGGCTTCATACACGCGTGCTGCATGCAGCTGCCTTTGGGCCTGCGACTGCCGCGAGAAGACATAGTCGCGAGGCACTTCGCCAGCCATGGGAGGAGCCATCTTGGAGTTTCTTGATGTGGCCTTCTTCTACTAAAGTCTACTGGTACAAGAACCACTACTTCTCAACTGAACATGTTGTATGCTAGTCTACTTCTTCGTCAGGTGGATGCGAGCACGCATCTGAGATGTAGAAGTAGATTTGTTGGAAACTGTGTGGGTCAGCCTTAGCAGGGGTTCGTCTGCTATAATCCTGTTCATCAGGAGACTCTTTAAAAGGACGCATTGAAACCGAGGACGCATAGAAACCGAGGACGCATAGAAACCGACCTCATACATGTTTGGTCATGGTCTGCAGCAGGATATGTTTTGAGCGCCAGCAGAAGACGGTCCACCTCGCATCAACCGATAACCGATATTCTCTATGGAATTTGGGACATAGTACCGAAGGTTTAGCGAATCTACATTCTACAACCTCTTCATCTCTCGCAGAATTCTTCTTTTCGACCGTTATCCCTTTAGATGCATAGGACATCACTCTATGGATCATCTACTGGAGGTCCTAGTAGATCCTAAATATCCTTCGGCGTATGGTCTACCATGATTTTCACACCACAATCAGATGACTAAGTACCTCAGTAGACTACAGGTACGACCTCCTACAACTTGGTCAAACACAGAATAAGTTAAGTACACGAATTATTTTATTACTTCTTAGTCTTTTTCTTTTTTTTAACATCTTGTCTCATTTCATCATCAGCAACGCCCCAGCGAAAGCACCCATCATGTGAAAGTCAGGGTCGACGCATAGAGCTTTCTTGGTCTTTTCGAGGAAATGTGGCACGTTGTCCCTCCGCAAACGACGACGCCATGAACCATACTTGTGGTCTACGAAGTATTTCCAGCTATGCTCCCAGATGCGACTATAGATGTCCCAGTAATGCTCGGGTCGCATGCCCGAACCTCCAGAACAACTTTCAATCCTGTCACTTTTAGAGCGTGGAGATGTAATCCATCTTGTAAAGCAGGAGCATCCTAGTCCTCGTGCGCGTTTATTACAACGTTTTAACTACTTAGTTGTTATGTTAATGTTTCTGTATCCCTTATAATATAAGAAATAGCAGACCTAAAAAGTCAAAGTGAGACTAAGATAGATGCTCACAAATAAGATGGATTTCATCTTGAAACTATTTTAATCTTAATCATGTCCTTTCCGTTGCCGTTCTCTTGTTCTGCAAGAGACGCCAGCATAGCGCAAGTTCCTGCGCTCTCGCAGTGGACCCAGAAGATTTTGTCATCGTTACAAACGCTTCCATCAAGGTCAAAGCTGTAGGCGAGGCCACCATACTGACTATCCCAAGCATTTCGCACCGCTACGTCCGCGAATGAAAGATGGTGATGGTTAAGGGTATGCTTTTCGTTTTTCTTGTAGTTTCACCGTAAAGAAAATCTAAATCAATATTCAGGACAATGTTGATCTTCTATCTTCTTGTTCTTCTAGAATCGTAGTGTGGGTACAACAACTGCTGCAAACTTTAGGCAATCAATCTATACTGGTGACTGAAACATGCAATCTATAATACTGACTGAATTTTGAGCGAATAGCACAGAGAGTTGTGCTGAAGTGCTTTTCTCGTAATTGTGTGAGATGTAAATGGGAATTATAGCATCAATGAAAGTCTGATCATAGAGACCATGATCAACATCAATCATCTTCCTTGATCCTTCTACTTCTTTCTTTCTTTCATTCATTCGAACCACGTAGCAACTCAGAGCTGCCTGGTTCCGTAGCGACCACCCGAGTAGCTATACACGTCCGAGACATAAAAACAAGTATCTCGCTTTGTCGACTAACCAGAGCTCTTTTCTTGGCGGGAAGCAGTCCAACTTCTCAACGTGGTAATTCAGAGTGAGCAGAAAGCGCGCCCACTCAACTTGGTGCCCAGGCTGAATACCCCACGGCCGAAAGATCTTCAGTGCCTCCGAATCATTGTTAAATTTCAAATCGGCTTTCCAGTTCTCGTCAAAGTGCTCCCACACGAGGCCTTTCGTCTGCCCTGCTTGTCTATTGCAAATGTTATCGGCGACTTTTAGTGCGCGCTCAAGATACTTCATGTCTTGCGTCGCTTCATAAGCGGCGATCAAAGCTTCAACCATGTGGAGATTGCCGCTCTCACTGCGGTAACTGTGTAGTTGATGATGTGAGAGAGCAAAAGTATAATGAGTTAGTTTGTTATCTTTTTGAATTTCATCTTCTTCGACTCCTGAGGAGTAATGAGGCGTACACTGCCTCAACAAAAACGACAACAGCATCTTCAAAGGTGAACCAAATCGGAATCGACCTAGCATCATCAAAGCAAGAAATCGCTTACTCGGTAGCTTTCCAATTTTCATCGGCTTCTTCCGCGTACAATCCGTGTCTGCCGTCCCACATGTGCTTTTCCAACAGATTCCACGTTTCTTCCAAGTAGAATTTCGCATCTACTACTCCGATCCGCAATGCTGCTGCATATGCCAATAAGCACTGCGCTAAACCATATGTGAAAATCTTCTTTTCAAGTACTTCCACGCGGTCGTCGCTTCCTGCTTCTTTGTCGTCTTTTGAGGGAAGTTTTACGACCCAGTAGTACGCACCATTTTCCTTGTTCCTCAATGGCCCCTCTGAGAGAAACTTCACTCCATGCTGGACCGCGTTCATAAAATTGAAACGGTCTGTTGCGCTCCCTGCAGGGGCGTGCACGGGTGACGAGTCGACCGCACTTCCATATTTGCTGTAGTCCGCAGCATCCGGCTTGAATGAATACGATTCCAAGTGCTCGTGCGCGACAGCATAGCTAAAGATAAATCTGGCTTGCGTGACGAGGACCCTGGTGTCCTTATCGTAGACAGTGCCGTCCTCCGCGAAAAAATGGTAATAGCCGCCAAGATCGGAAGAACAGTCGCAGCAACGAGTCGGCGCGAAAAAGTGCATACATCGCGCCATCTCATTCACGAGAAACTGCTTTGACCGTAAAACGCCCAAGTCGGGCAAGGGTGGCACATCTCCATCACCTGCTGGAGGCATGGAAGTGGTACTCGCACTCGTCGTCGTGCCACCACCAGCTACGATTTTTCTAAGCTTGAGCGCGGTCCCTTCACTTGCGCCTACGTGTGCTGGGACGGGAACGGACTCTTCGCGTTCGTTTTCCGCGACCCCTGCAAAGGCACCTTCTGGAGCAGGCATGGTCCTTTCTCTCTCAGTCTTTCAGTCTGTTTGTTTCTACAAAAGCATTCATCTCCAATGCAGCGGGACAATGAGCATATTATGCTGCTCTCTGAAATACACAGAAGAACAATCCTTCGTAGACCGCCACCGACACCGCGAAACCGATTCAGCATATTGATGCGAAACATTAATGGCGTGTCCGTGTGTCTGTGGTGGAGCGAACAAAATAGTGGATTCTAGACGAAAAAAAGTAAAGAATGAGGTGCATCTTTAGATGCTCCTGTCTGAATATCTTCCAAGTTCTTCTTAATAAAGTAGATGATATGCTTAGGAATCTTCCTGAACTGCAAAGTAAGCTGTTCTTGTTGTTCTAGTTGTAGCTGTAGTTTGATCGTCATTGGCGAGCTCAGGTGTCCTTTGAAGAACCATTGAAATGAAATTATGCTTTTGATGGAGAAAGAAGACGTTTGCGATTCCCCTTTCGCAAGAATTCCTTCTGTACACGCGGTAACGCGGCCATCCGCGCAAATCGTTTACTACGCCGACTGAATTCCGAACGTCGCCTATGGGATACGGCGCTCGCTGCTTCAGCAATCGAAAGCCACTGGGTACGAATTTGTATGTGTTGTCTCGTAGAAAGAGGTTCAGAATCGGTACTGCGGATGCGCTAGAAGCAGGAGCAGCTTCTTTTGCTTCTTCTTCCTCTGATTTCTGTGGTGCTTTTGAACCCCCTTCGTGTGGTGCTTCTGAACCGCTCCCCTTGAGCATGCTAGCGACGGCGGGAAAGGAACTCCAGCCATCCCAACGCGCTGTGTGCATTACTATCCCAGCAGCATTTGCCAACAGTACAAAATCTGCATACATAGCTTTAATGTTCTTGATTCCCATCGCTCGTAGCTCAGAAAGAACCTGTGCTGGTGTAGGCGGAACCGATTTAGTCTTAGGTAGTTGGCTTGATTTAGCTTTAGGCGTGCCAGAAGATCCTGTAGCTGATTTATCGGAAGCATCTTCACCCATGCTGTCCCCTTGTTCTTCATCCAGCAAAGATCGTAGTGGCCGTTGAAAAGTGAGACCTACAAACTCACTCGCATCCCCGTTTTCAAGAACGCTTCGTAGTGCTGTTGCGAACAGGGTACCTCCGCGATCTTGTGTGCCTTGACCATCGTTATCCCCATGATCTGCTGGCGCAGGCGTTGGACTACGATTTCGAAGCTTAGCTTGATCTTGATCGGATTCATCCTGCGTTGGCACTTCTTCTTCTTCTTGATCATCTCCCAACGCTGCAGGTGGTCTGGTTTTGCTTTTCGTCCTTGTCCCCACGATCGGTCTGGTGCTGCTTTTCGTCCTTCTTGATAGGTGCTTTAGGTAATCGTCGCGATCATAGACGTTCCCAGTGACGTTGCAACTGCGCAATAGACGTACATATTTACGCGCCACGTCATCCACGTCACTGATCACAACCCAATCGACATTGAGCTGCATCAATGTCGGAATTCCTGCGGCCGCGCGCTTTACCTGGATTGCTTCCTGGTCGTCTTGGTCGCGTCGGATCTTGCCCGCATAGAAATCACTCGAAAAAAACATTGCGGCTTCATTTCGGAGGAAGTGGAAAATAACGTTTTCGCGCACAGGGTTTAGCCACACTTTTTCGCCGCGTCGAAGATAGAGCGCGAGGTACGGTTTGTTTTGCTGCTGCAGGCTTAGATGACACTACGCGGCAATGAGACCCTAATGGGGCCTTCAATCTTTTTAGAAGTAGAAGATACAGGAGGTAATCTTCTTCTTGTTCTTCTCGATCTTCTAAATCTAAAAATCTTCATACTTCTTATAGCCATGATCTACTACCGAAATATAGGTGGTACTGAGAAGTGATAAAAAGAAAGACAGTACGCTCTGCATAGTACATAACACATCACTGTCGACCACGCTTTCCTTTCCTCCTTCAAAGGGAGGAGCCCTCATGCCACCTGTAATTCCTGTCCTCGGTCGAATAATTTGCTGTTCCTTCAAGCGGAATTGCGTAGCTGCGTGATAGAAGTTCCTCACAAATCGTTTCGGTTCTAGATCCGGAAGAATCGTCTTTATGACGTACGCTGTCGGTTCTGGCTGTACGAAGATCCCGTGCTCTACCACTACTGGACCTGCATAGTCCTTCTCATGCTGGAGTAAAATGTACTCAATGATGGTGCTGCAACCTCCTGCTCGTGCTCGTCCGGTACCGGTCCTCCTGACACTATCTGTAGCTGTACTACTAGAAATACTTGCACCCGAAGATGATAACAGTTTGTTTGATGCGAGGCTCTTCGCATGAGGATCATGTAGTTTCTTCAAATTTTCCATTTGCGAGATCGCCAGGCTTTCCAACAGCACAGACGGCAAGCGACCATCGTCATCAGCAACAGCACCTTTTTCTGTCACTTCATCGGCAACGGGACCATACTCTGCTATCCACTTCTTAATCCGCATTTGCATTGTTTGGGTTCTTTCACTTTCATCTTCACAGGAAGTAGATATTGCTTCTGTTGAACTTCGTGTCCGTGTGCTTCGGCGGCATTTGAAACTCTCGTTGTCCTCGGGGCTTTTCATCTCCTTCGGAAGATCCTCTTTTCTTGTCATCTCCTTCTGCTGCGCAAAGAGATCAATGTACCCTACTTCACATGCGCCGGTAGTGGTTGAAGACCACAAGTGTTGATTGTTAATTGACATCTCTTCTACTCCTCTAGTACTGGTTGTACTTCTGGACTTTTCCCGCTTGTTGTATCGATCAAAGAATTTCAGAAATTCAACTCGATTTTTCAATAAGATTAGTTCGTCTGGTACGCGTTCTACTAGTGAAAAGAACGAGTCTGCATCGAAAAGCGGAAATGCGAGATGACGACCTTTGCGTCGCGTTGCGGTGATAGAACATGAAAGACGACACTTGAGACAAGCGGCAGCACTACTTACTCTAGTTATTCGATAAACTGAAATATGCGAGTAACTAGTGAAAATAAGCGAGATACTGATGAGATGGAAGAGTAGCCTTGATGTTAACCTACCTCCCACATTTCAATCAGTAACTCGGTTATTTTCAGTTTTCGAGTACTTAGTTTTACCACTTCTATCAGGTTCTTCCTCGAATTTTGAATTGAAAGTGATGAGAAGGCACGACTGCTTCACGTTCATCTCCTAGGTCATACTTCTAGGTCCTACTCTGCATGTTGTCTACAACTAACAAGTGCTAGGTCCTCATTGTCTTCACATAAATTGTAGCTGTGCCCAACCGTAGGCATCCACAACCCACCTGCCCAAAAACTAACAGCCTTGTACTCTATTTCTCTAGATGCTCCACCTCCAACATCGTCCGGAACTTCCGGCGTTCTTTCCCCTTCTTCTACCGTGAAATTCTGGACACGGTGCTGGCTGCTCTGCTGCGTAAGGGTCTTCGCTAGTGCGGCGATGGATAAGTAATATCCCAGGCGGTCGCCGAACCCACTGGTTGCCGGAGCAGGAAAGCCAAGAAGGCGTACCAATCTCTGTGGTCGTGACCACGAGGAAGTACTTCTAGCAGGCTCTTTTGCCGAAGATGATGCACTGGATGATCTTATTTGGGAGTCCAAACCTTCTGCTTCTCTATCACTTGGTTCTTGCGCACCTTGTTCATCCTGCTCGTCATTTACTAGTTCTTGTGCAGCTTTTCTGCCAAAAACATCACCTAGGGGTGACGCCTGTGCCAATAAGGTCCAGGTAGACGCTGCTCTAGCAGCGTCTAGGATGTCGCGAATACGATTTGAAGTACTACTAGAGGAAAAGGTGGATGCTTCTACTCCATTTCTATTTCTAGCGTCGCTGCTCTCAACTGCAGTTGCACCACAAAAGGGGTTCTCGGTGCCCATATCAATAAGCAGGGTGGAGGTAGTCGTTGCATTGCCCGAAGAAGCATCTTCGTCGCTTATTGCGAGGCTTACATCGTCCGCCGTTGGAGAGTCTGGTGCTCGACGATTTTCATCAGCTTCAGCTTCATCGTCCACAGTACTCGCCCTACTGGTACTTGTCGTACCACCAGCAGTTGATGTAGAAGTACCGCTACCGTCTCTGCTATTATTAGCAGCATCCTCTCCTTGCACTTGCGCGCGCACTCTTGTGATCATGATAAGAGCATGCAGGAGTCCGAGGAGAATCGCACACCAAGCACGAGCAAGACCACAGCCGCCAAGAACGCACCACATCCACGTCCTCCTGCACTGGGTGGATGCTGGGAATTCCTTCATATTCATTCTCTATTATACCACGTCATTTTGAAGGATCTTAGTCCTAGAACAAGAACTCTAGTGGCCCTAGAGGACTGCAAATAAATACAATCTGCTCGTGTTATGTGTGATAGATTGATTATGACTGGACGAGCCTTCCTTGTACGCGTTTTGTCAAAAATAAGGGGTTCTGTCTTCTCTTGCCTGACTCTGCGCCTCGTCGAGCACCGAATCCTAAGACCTACAAGAGCTTTAGAGAACTGTTTTACTATACTGTTGAACAGACTAGAGACAGCCTCAAAACCTCGTTGTTTCCGTCTCCTTGAGACGCGATGCGTTTCAGTGTTGTACACGCAAACTTTATCAAGTGAATGCTTATGCTTGATAATTCAATTATCAGAAGTCATTGATATCCTCTTCATAGTCCTAGACCTAGGGATTTCATCTTTCTTTGCGATGTATCAAACTACAACATGTTGAGAAAAAATTATAATAGCACTAGCTCGTACAATTATTTGAACGTCATAAACCTCTAACCATAATCACTTTAGCAAGCTTTATTCTCGAATAGAGGAAGTAGATGAGAGAGTTTCCAACGAACTGAGTCGTAAGACGAACTTATTGCGGCAATATGCTGAAACTGATATTTGTTGTATTTCACACATTCGTTTTCATGGACCACTGTATGTACAAAAAGCTAAACTTCTAGTAGGTGACCATCGCATGATCTTCAGGTACTACTTCTAGTACATTGATAAATGAACTGCACAGAAACCACATACACATAGCATGTGCCGCAAAATTTTGAGGGTTCTTGACACTCGTTGATAGGGAAGCCGGCATCGCTTCCTGTAGTTCTTCTACTTTTTTTCAGGACTAGAAGGAATCCTTGAATTAAATTTCAAAACCACTACAATGGAAATGTCAATGTTAGCCTCTTGTTCTTCTAATTGTTGTGCTTAGTAATGGTATGTCGTGGTACAACCAAATAGTACCTCCGCCTCCGCGATTCTCCGAATACAAACTGCGCATGGGAGTTCACCTTCACTAGGACACTCGATCTGGATCTGGATATTGTACTGATAAAAGTTGCAAAATCTTCATACAACTGTAGGTGTAGTCTCAAAAATTTGACAAAAATTCGACGTCCACCGCACCTCTCTTGGATAGTGAGCGTGGGTCGTAAATGATCATCAGCAAGTCGTCAGAGCAACAGAAACGTGGCAGTTCTGAGAAGCTGTCGGCGGCGCCCCCACCTGGCAAGCCTGTCGTGTTGGCTATTGATTCGAATTATTAGGTTTTATGTCTCTATTTTGGTTTCTTTTGCCGTTGATGAGTGGCTGATCATGATTTCGAGGAGTGTGCGAGTCATCGTATCGATGACCTGTGCTTTCTGCGTCGGCGCCGCCGAAGAGAAGTCGATATCTCGACATCCGTAGAGCCACAGAAGGCGAATCAAGGTGACATTCTTAGTGGCGATTGCACTCGATAGCGGAAAACTCAGTGGTGCATCACTGGAGACGACTTCGGTGTTGGCCTGATCAATATCGAATGTAGAATGTGTTGCAGTATGTGAAGAGTAGGAGAAAAGAAGTCCCAGGTGATGTCATAGAAGAACAACTGAAGTGGAAGTATAATACTTACCACAGCTCCGTTCCTGAGAAGCAGCGCCACCGTATCCACGGCTTCAGCCTCGACTGCGATGTGGAGAGCGGTGTAGCCTCGCTTATTGGCCACATTAAGTTAGAAGAAGAGCTCGACGCCCTAATCGTCCCTCATCTTGAAATACTTACATCCACCTCCTGGACCCTTTTCCACTTAAGAACAACCGGAGGCCCCTCATCTCGAAATACTTACACCCACCTCCGGGGCCCTTTTGCCCTTTAGAACAACCTGAGGTCGATGGAAGCACGATTTTTAATAGGGGAACGGGAAGCCTTAATTGATAAGACTTTTGGCGGCCACACTGGTGAAGTCTTCAGACGTTGACGTGTCTTGTGGGAGAATTTCAGGTACAAACTCCTCCATCACTTCTCGAAAGAGTCGTTCTGAAGTGTCCATCAGTTCATTCGCTATCTCCTTCACCATTTCGATTTCACTATTATTAGATAGAGCGCGTAGGTTCTTATCGGTGTTCGCATATAATCCGGTTTGTTCTGCCTGTCTTTCTTAGGAGAGACTTATTAACAAACGGCAACAAAAACACCTTTAACCTACCCGCCTGGTGTTGCAGATGCTTATGCTTTAAGCTACCCTTAATATTACTGTGGTCCTCGACGCTAGTACTACTTCTTCTTGCAGAAGTACCAGATGCGCCTTCGCGTACTTGAGTTTGGGTAGAAGACGAACTATAATGAGACGGACCTCCGCTGCTTTCCTCCTCTTCGACAACCTGGGGCAAATGAGGGGCAAAAGCACCTCCAGCTGTGTTTCCCTGCGTTTCCAGCATCTCAAAAAGCGTCGGGCCAAAAATATCGGAAGATCGTGCTCGCGCATCTGTACCGGGCACAGGGTAGTCGTCCATGCTGGAAGGTGATTCGTATACGTAGCTCTTAGACTTGTTACAGATTGATACAGGTAAAGGTAGAGGACCCTTCATCAAGATCTAGTATGGAATTTACATTTGCCCTCCATACTAGTTGTAGTCGTTAGGCATTCCTAGCTGTAGTCGTTAGGCGGATCGCGAATCTCTATATTCGTGGTCATGCTGGTGACTCACAAACTTCGTGTTATGCTGGTGACCCACCATAAGATTCACGACAGTCTGCGGACTACTTGGTGTTGGAGCTGCCTCATCTCTTGTACGCAGGCTCGACGCATCATCTGTTGTTCTTTCCGCATCGCCAGCTTCTGGTACCGCAAAGGTAGGAAGTGTTGTACCTTCTGCTTCGTCGTCCCCCTCCAGAAAAGACGCCTGCTCTGCTGCTGTTGTACTTAGAACAGTTGTACCACGAAGTACGTCATGCTGATGTATTTCTTCTACTTAACTTAAACGCAACGAACCGCAAGGAGTAGGTGATGTAGATTGATTCTCAAAAAAAAGAACAGTTGCGACTTAATCTTGTTTCTTGAACTTCTTTCCTGCACCTGCTGACAAAATTATATCAAATATCTGCTCTGAAACCTAGACGTCGTACTCGTAATAAAGGTAAACGGGAAACCTTAACCTATCTACTTACTTATTTGAAATATCGCCTTAATCTCAGCTGTCCTCCTTCAGGGGTATGCCCTGCAACCGAAGAAGCTTGTTGCGTTGAGGTTGTGCTGTTCATTTCAACAATTGCTGGATGCATTTCGACATCTTCTTGCTCATTCAGATTGCTTCGTCGACTTCGAGGAGTGGCAACATCAGTGTCACCTGCAGCTCCTGCACCCAACAAATACCCTCGGAGAGCGGCAGCCGCCGCCTCTCGTAAATTGCCCGAAGACGGCGATATCAAGTCCGATGTCTCGGGAGGCTGGTTGTGCGCACCAGCCTCCTGGCCACGTAGTTGTTCTCCTCCAGAGATAGACGCTGCCGCGGCCGAGCTGGTTGCTTCGACATGAGGAACACGACCCTGACCATCCACATGAACAGCTTCACGCTGCGGCTGTTGATCGGTGGAACTTCGTGCGCCTCCAGTATCGCCTTCTACCACACCATGCTGAACTAGTCCTGCGATGCTGCGATCCAGTACGTTGTCATGTTCCCTGTTCATCTCCTCAAACGTCGCGAGCAATTCCGCAGGCGCCTGTTGGCCCGTGCCAGAGTAGGCATCGAGTCGAAACTGCATCTCACGACAGCTACGGCGAATCGAAGCCACATTAAACGCCGCTTCCCGCAGGCACGCGGCCATTGTTGAGGACAACTCTTCTGAAGATGCTCCGACCGCAGGAGTAGTTGAAGATGCTTCTTCCATCACGCCCTCGTCCTCCATGTTCGTTGACGATGTCCCCTTGTTGATACTTTCCTTCTTGATGTCTTTCCGCCCACTTCCAATAGGCCACCCAGAATCAGTAGAGTCGTCACCATCATCCCGCAAGAAATTGTGCGTTTTCCACTCCCGCCGATGTTCCTCTCGAGACCTCCCAAAAAACGAGCTTCCTTCTGGCATGACGTAGGCAGTCAAGCGGATCACGGTTGGGAGTAGTCTCTCGAACAAGAAATGGCGCCGTGCTTCGTCTAAATCTGGATGTCTAATGATGTAGTCTGCGGCAATGCGGTCCCCAGCGATAACGTCGGAAACCGATGCACCAGAAGGCAGTGGCCAGGGGACTTGGCCTGAGACTTGATCGCGGTTCTCACCTTCATCACCTCCGGGATATCTTGTGCTCGAGGCAGCCGTTGATGTGGGCACAGCGGTTCCAGGGCTAAAATCTGCGAAATACAGCGCGCGCTGCGCCTCGAGATAGGCGGCGGTTATCGTGGACGTTGGGCCTCCTAGCGGCATGTTTGCCGGGTCGATAGCGTGTCCGACAGCTCCACCTACCGTCCTCGCCAGAGAAGCCTCACCTCGTGAAGCGGAAGGTTGCTGTGGCTCAGGTCCTGGCGACGAGCCAACAGCTGGACCTGGCGACGACCCAACAGAGGATGCAGGTGCTTCATCTTGTGCACTCGCTTGCGCAGAAGCTGCCCGTCGCGTGGTGGCCGCCGTCGTTCCCCTTGGCGTGGTACTAGTTTGGACGTAGCCACGTCCTACATGAGGACCCAGTGCGGCCGCCGCCGAAGCTCTGGATGAAAACGACGGATTCCTCTCCGTTTGCACCTGGAAAAGAGCAGGGAACGCTGTTCCTCCTGTGCTCGTCGCCGCTGCAGCAGTAGAAGATGAGGCTGCAACATTCGCCGCAATCGAATTTGCGGACGCATTATTTGAAGACGAGGCTCCACGGGGAGTCGAGAAAATGGCGCCGCCACTTGACGACCCTCCCGAGGATTCTTGAGGGATGTTTGTGGCGCCACCCGTCGGAAGCAGCGTGGAACCACGGAAAGTCGTGGCGCTGCTTCCACTACTGTTGCTTCCTCGAGGAGGTGTTCTAAGGCTGCTTGGCGGGGTAGCAGCCATTACTGTAGACAGGTTGCGTCGGCGGATAGCGCTAGTTGAACGCCCAGCATCAGGTGATGCGGAGGAGCCTACACGATGTTGCGGCAGAGCCTGCGACGTTGCCTGTCTTCTTGGTGTTTCGCGTGCACGAACAGTAGCTGGCAAAGCCTTCCCCTGCGTCGTGGTCGTCGCACGGGGTGGTGGACGCTGAGGTTCAACAGCAAGCAGCAGTATGAAAGGAAAAAGTGCAGCACTCACAGTCACACTCAAGAAAGAAGTACTTCTACTTAGCTACTTTCCTACCAGAAAGTCCACCTAGCCAAGTTCTTGAGTATGAAGAGTGCACTTTTTCCATGCATAAGCAGCGGCGTGGTTTCACTTGTATCCTCCTCCTCGTAATTACCTCTCTCGATGCCTGGCGCAGCTAGGGTTTCACCTGTATCTTCCTCCTCCTCGGTTGTCGGGGAAACCATAAGCAGCGGCGTGGTTTCACTTGTATCCCCCTCCTCCGTTGTCGGGGAAATTTCTAGAGGTAGAGAAGCTTCATCAGCGTTCGGAGAAGCTTCATCAGCGTTCGGAGAAGCTTCAGTAGCGTTCGGAGAAGCTTCATCAGCGTTCGGAGAAGCTTCATCAGCGTTCGGAGAAGCTTCATCATCCACGGCGTCGCTAACTGGGCTTGCGCTGCTTGAAGATGCTACAGGAGTTGCATTCATCCCTTGGAGACGAGGGGCTTCAACAGCCGCGCTGGTGTTTGCTCCTCCGCCTGCGGCAGCAAGTGCGGCGGAGCGCCTGTCGCGGCGTGCCAAGCTCGAAGATCGTAGTCGAATGCTGGCCAACTCACTCAAAATGGATCGGGTCTGCGCGCGCAGTTGCTCGCTCGTCATCGCGCTTAAATGCAGCGAGGGGATTCCGTTCAACAATTGCTCCAATTCCTCCGGACTTCGCAACACTAATGGAGATTGTGCTCCGGCACCTCTTTCCTCCTCCACGTTGGCTCCTCTCTGGGACACACCAGAGGCAGCTGCCTCTGGCGACGACTCAGGTGTAGTAGTGGACGACTGCTCCCGCTCGCGCCGCATTTGTCGTCGTAGATCGATCCACGAAATCGCGCGCGAGGACACTTCTGAAGGTGCCGGTCCTAGTCCTGCGGAAGTTCGTGGTCTATCCGCACCTCCTCCTGCTTGATTCGTCAACGTCGGAAACCGTGTTCTTGGCGTCGCTTGGCCTCGTCGTCGAGTCGGCAGGGCCATCGAAGCTGTTGAACCACCAGCACGCGCTCGCAGACCGCTCAACGACCGCTCAACAGGAGAAACACCTGCTGCGGTCGTGGTGGAAGCCGAACGAGGAGATGAGGTTCTTGTTGTTCGCGAAACACCTGCGATAGTTGAAGAGATGCTTGTCATTGCACCTGTTCGCGATGTTGTCATTGCACTTGCTCCACGCCCTGATGAGACAGCACTTAATCTCGCCGAAGCCGACGCCGTGCTGGCTGCGGCAGCACCCACAGCGCGAGCCGTTTGAGAGAGCGCAGCTGACCCTCCACCAGTACGACCAGTTGTGCTACTACTTCCTCCACCAACGACTCCGAGACTCGTTTCGGGCGGCGCTAGACGTTCCGGCTCTGCGGTCACTTGCGCCTTCGCTAACGCAGTCAATACAGGGTCATCTGCTGGGCGCATCTGTCGCAGACTGGGACTGCGAAAAATGAGGAGAATCAACTCCACGTTGCGACTGTAGGCAGCGAGGTGTACAACCGAGTTTCCGCACTCATCCAAGCGCAGAGGGTCCGCGCCGCTCTCCAGGAGAAATTTTGCAACTTCGAAGTGCCCAGCCAGTGCGGCAGCATGCAACGCTGCCCGTTCTGACATTGGACTACCTGGCATCTTCGTGTCACAGACACTAGCTTTCGTGTCGATTCCGCGTGGCAACAGGCAGGGAAGCTGTTTCCCGGATCCTGAGGACAAGGAGGCAGATGGCGCCGACACAGTACCTCCAGCCCTATGATTGTCCTGGAGTGCACAAGCACTAGCACATGATGGACCATTCTCTGCATTTCCTGCCTTACTAGGAGGAGGAACCAATGTTAACGTATCTACCATAGCACGTACAAGTTGTAAGTCTCCACGTGCCGCTGCTTGGACGAAGAATGCGTCGGCATCGAGGGCCCCAACCTTCAGGATATGAGAACAGATTCCAAACTGACGTGCACGAAGCGCCAGCTCGAAGCCCTTCTCTTGCTGTGATCGCCACTGTTCTATCGCTTGCGTCGTTTAGAAGAAGTGAGGAACTTCAATTATACTTATCGACAAAGTCCATAATTCAGTATGTTGTTGATGGCAATCAGTTATAGGTACAGGTGTTGTAGTTTTTGATCATAGCATGATTCTGCTACGTTATTTGTCTTTACAGGCTTATAATACACGACTCACGACCGACATCGCAAAATCGTAAACAAATAGAATTAGAAGTGAATTGTCCTCGCCTTAATTCAACAAGCGCACTGGCACGCACGGCAAGCCATTCCCCGTCATCTGCCACAATTGCTCGCGCGTATTGGGCGACCGGTCGCTACGCTGAAGCCATCTTTCCAGGGACTCTCTTTCGTAGACAAATCCATCCTTAGACCTTACATGTGTGTCTGTAAACAGTTGTCCCTGTTTTGCTATATTACACAAAATCATCCTGAAGAGCATCTTGAAGATGAAGAACCTGTTCTCGTGGTCCCCTGCTTAGTTATGGGACAGCGACAGCTCTTCCAATAAGACGTACTACTAAGTACTATCTAGATCTACTGAAGATGAATCATCTTTACTAGGGTTCCAACAAGCCTTAACATCACTAGCAACGCTAGGATCCTCCATTACTTGCAAGGAAATCGGATCCTCAAATTGGATTGCTGGGGTCAAAAAACAACGCACGAACTCCTCAACCAGTGCTGCAGGGACCAGATCACCGTTGTTCACATCATGTCGGATCGTGCCCGGTCTCCCCATCGCTTCGGTGCATATCCTTATCTTGGTACTGTTACTTGTTGTTGTAGTTGTACCTTCTCCTTCATTAAGATCTTCAGGATGAGGATGTCGTGCACCTGGTGCCTTTCTTCCCGTCGTGTTGTCCATGCAACTTTCTGCTCGAGGAGTACCTTCTTCATCTCTAAAGCCTGAAGATTCGCCGGCGGCACCTCCAAGCCCATCTACCGTGGCTTTCAGATCTATGTTAGCGGCACAGCGCCCGAGTAATTGCCGCAAGCGACTCGACAACGTGCCTGCACTAGTCGTTCTTTGCTTGGGAAAGAAGGGGCTATCCTGCTGATCCTCAAGGCCGTCCATCGCCATTTCCACATCCTCGCTCTCTTGTTCGCTGGTTCCTTCGTTTCATGAAGGAAAATAAAAAGGGGAGAGAGGTGGAATTATACGGAATTCTACTTCTACAAACATGATGTCGACAAAAATTGGATTATCATGATGCATTAGCTGCAACGCTACTAGAACAAGTAGATCAATATTATGTTCGAACAACTCAACTACAAGCCCGGAGTGTGGTACTTCTTACACTGATTTTTACTCCTTGAGTGCTTGTCATAAGCGAGTAATGGTATCGTCTTGCGGCGACTGCTCTCGAAACGGTGATCCTGCAGTCGGTGCGCGCGTCGACGCTGTACTCAAATCACTGTCGAATCGATGCCTTTCTCCTGTTCCCTCTAATATTCTGTCCTTGATCATAGTTGAAGTTGCACCTGCCTGTGCCTTATTACTCAAACTCATCGGAGTACTATTACTACATGCCATACTACTGGTGGTGCTCAGCTTCTCAAACTGGTCTATCAAGTCCGCCAATTCTCTCTGTTCGTGCCTGTACAGGTCCAGGGAGGCCTGACGCCTCTGCGCCTCGAGGCGAAGACGTGCGTTACGTTGAGTGAAAGCTTCGCTCTGGCGTATGATTTCGTCACGGAAGCAATTTTCCCGCGTATCGAGCTCATTCTGCAAGCGCATGCACACACCCTCAAACCTACGACATTCGTCTAAGGCCATTCGCTTTTCCTGTCAGTCAAATTGTTCATCAAGCTGACTTGATAAAGTGAAAGGTGTCAAATTCATGTCAACAAAACTTAGAACAAGACCTCCATGTAGGAACAAAGAAACGACCACTTAGACATATGTACTCGTTCTTTTGCTACGGAGGCTTTCTTGGCGGAATCCAGTTCCAGTAGGAGATTCGTGATCACTCTGCGTTGCTCGTCTATTTTCTGGCATTCATCTTCTCTTGCTCCTGAAGGAGCTACACCTACAACGTCTGTTGTACTCCCTAGAGACGGAGCAATTAGTGCTGGAAATGGCGGCGGAACAGCCCCACCGGCATAATTGGTCGCCTGCTCTGCGCCACCAGCTGGTAGATTAGAGGTGGAGTTTCGGCGTTTGTTTCTGTTTCCCGTTTGTTCTGGCTTTCTCCCTTAGGAGAGGCAAAAAAATACGGTAAGACGAACACCTTTAGCCTACCCTTAAGTAGAGTTAGTCGTGCGGAGTGTGCTGGGGACGTCGATATGCCGTCTCCAGCACGGACTGCACTACAGTAGTCCGGGTCACACAACCCGCGTCGGGTTATCGTTGGAACTGCCTGGGCTGAAGGTGCAGGAGGTGGCGGCCCCGTCTGATGAGCACGGCTGGAAGATCGTGTGAGTCCAGTAGACAGTCCCGCTACCGATGGCGAGACAGGCTGCTCTTGCCGATGTCGCGCAGCTGCTTCACCTGAAGGAGAAGCAGTTGTCGTGGCCGTACCCGAGTTTGGAATTACGTTGTTAATACGGGGAGCACTGTCAGCACCTGCACCTGCACCACCTGAAGAAGTTCTTCTTCCTGTTGTACTACTAGATCGTGTAGTTCCCTCACGTGGTACTTCAGTGGACGTCGAAGATGACGCGACGGGTCCGATGACGCGAGGACTTGGAAACTGATGCTGAAAGGGAAAGGCTGGACGTGCCAAAGCATCCTCTTCACGTGGACTTCTGTCGGATTCGCGAGGACTTCTCTCGTCCGACGCAGTAGATCGGCGACGCACAGGAGATCGCACCTCCGGCGATATAGATCGGCCACCTTGCTCCTCAGGAGAGTCTTCTTCGTCAACCCGAAGGTATGGCTGCTCGACGCGTGGTCTGCTGCGTTCGTGCGGGGCATAGGTGACGGTAGCTGCAGGAGCTTGAGGGTCCGGCTCCACGGCCTCTCCTGCGGGTGCGACAGGCGCAGAGCCAGAATCACCGATTGAGTAAGTGATGCTAGTTCTAGCCTCGCGGCCTTGCTGCAAACGAAGCGGAGATGATGAAGTATCCTGCTCTACTTCTGCAGGAGGACCCCGCGGAGCATCTAAAGGTCGCAACGCGTATGGTTCTGCGGTTGCTGCAAGCCCGTACTCCGGTTGCTGGGCGCTCCGAAGAGAGGAAGATAGCCTGTTTGGGGATGTCCCCAACGGCAGAGAGAGCTGCCTCGCTGTGTCTCTTGCTGGCTGGGTTTGTCGTAAATGGTGGCCAGATGAACCAGAAGTTGGTAAAGGTAGTGGCCGTGTTCCAAACTGGCCTGCTCGCTGTCGTGCTAATAAGTCACCTTCTCCATGAGAAGACGAGGACAATCGTCTGGTGGTTGTACTAGTAGCATGTTGAAGATTATCAAAATCTGAAAGGGTGCTCGTCGTCGTCTCGTTCAATGTTGAAACAACCGCCGTACGTGGGTGCACGGCATAGCCACCCGGTGGGTGCACGGCATAGCCACCCGGTGGGTGCAAACCATCCCGATTGGGAAGCGTGCGAACGAGGACCGGTTCCACTGTTCCTGCACGATAAGAAGCGGAAGGTGGGATGTAGGTACCTCGCGCGACGTCCCGAGCGCTGCTGGACGACACTGCTCGTCTGGTGGCACCACCCGCAGGCACAACATGGTCCGGCAATACCGGCGAGTGCATCATTTGATGTGCCCCAAGCCCCACCAGCTGCGTAGCCTGGTGTTCCTGATGCAGGCGCAAAAGTTGTTGCTGACTCATTGCTGAATGATGATGATGATGATGCGGTGACGCCACAGGTGACGACGGCACTGCACCAGATTGTATGTTCCTACTTGTCGGGCTACTAGACACTGGAATTGTCGCAGAGCCGGCTGGCACCATATACACAGGGCCAGCAGCGAGCGTTCCTTGCTGCATAAGGTAGGGTCCCGGAACTTGAGCCATCACTTGGCTTCTGGCGCTTGGCGTGGTGTCTACACTCTGATGTGACGACCTGGTGGGGGACGCGGCGTGATTTCCCGCGTAGCTGTGCAAGAGCTGTTGCCCATATGCAACACTGGCACGCGCACTAGTCGAGGTATGCAAAGCAGATCCACTAGGAGCGCTAGCCCCTCTTGTTCCCTCGTCATCCTCAACTTGCTCATCTTCCTCTGCCTCATCATCATCGCTAGACCCGTTGTTACCACCATGCTCCGATCCAGTCGCGCCGGCTGTCTCGCCTGCCGTACTTCCGCCACTGGACGAGCCAGCTTCCGAAGCGATGCTAGCCCTTTCTTGAAGTACGACTCCTAACTCTTGAGAAACTTGGCCCCTTGTCGGGAGGTCAGCGATAGCACTGGTGGGAGCCACTCGACGTGTCTGCAACGCTGCAGCTGGTGCTGGTGCCGCAGCCGCCTCCATATTGATGCTATTCAATCCAACAACATGTGGAGAAACGGGCACGACACCGCCAGCGCGAGTCCTATTAAGCTGCGGAGTGGCTGGCACAGGTAGTACTTGATGTGACACCACGACTCCAGCAGGGACTCTACTTGTTAAACGCGTTGACGCTGGAAGTGAGGCACGGCGTTCGACGGAGGGTGGAAGTTGAAGCGATGCTGGGAGATTCGGACGAGGGACATTAGCAGCACCACTAAATTCTATCGAACAAACGAGCAGCAGTCCCAGGCGACCGAAGACTGTGCTTCGGCACCAGCCAAGACGAGACTCATCTCTCTGTTGGAGAGCAAGAGCAGGCAACCAGAGTGTCATGATCTTCAATCCTTTATTTCTCTCTTTGCCAAGAATAATTTGGAATTGGATGATGCACCAAATCACGCAACTCAATAAATTTGACAATAAATATATAAAGTTGTTCACTTGTTAGTGCTATCCCCTGGCCTGATCATTGATCTAGGTGTATCCAAAAAAATCTAAAACGTGCAAGAAAAACCTGTGAAATGTATATCATACCCAACACGGGACTAATCTTGTTTTTGACATTGAATTTCTTCGGATCATTGCACTTCTTTCCACCAAACGTACTAACCACGAAAAAACCGACAGAACGATTCTTGTCAGGCACAAGAATCTGTTTGCAAGTGTCCTTCCTGCGGCGCACTTCTTTCCACCAAACGTACTAACCACGAAAAAACCGACAAAACGATTCTTGTCAGGCACAAGAATCTGTTTGCAAGTGACCTTCCTGCGGCATCCTTGAACAACATGTTGTTCATTTTACTTATTTACAATTAATTTTTCATCAAAAGGAGGTGTACAATATGTCTACTACATGTGGAGAAGGGCTGGTTGCGCGTGGGAAAGAGTGTCTGTCTTCGTCTTGAGTATGAGGAAAAATCTGCACACATAAAGTGACCCACTGGGGCAGGCAGGGCCACCAAGATACTATAAATATTATGTTGTTTCTGTCGGTCCATCTTCGTATCTACTTCAGCAGGTGAGAAGCCACTGCCACCGTTACCGCATATGTTGAGTCGATATATTAGTCTACAACCTTTGATACACTGATATTCAGGTCAACATTAGGATGGAAGTCCAGCCCCATGTCTCACCCTTTTCTACACTTAGGCCTAATCTGTCCCTGTGCTAGTCTGCTTTCAAAACTACAACATAAGCCAATGAAGAGTGGATGATCTTCTATTCTAGAAGATTGGAAATCATCATAACTCTAACTGGAATATACTATGATCGATTTGCAGCTCTCGTTTAGGCGAGAGACCACAGGCATATCATTTCACGTTCGCGATGCCATAGCATGTTGCTCTTGATGTGGCTAGACGAATTAAGTATAGATACAAACTCTGTGTATATCATCAATGGGAAGGTGTAGGATTTCCTCGTTATCGCAGAGGCAGACAAAAACTTACAAAAATTGCACAAGAATGCGTCATAATGTTGCACTTCTTTACAGCTATGTCTTATTGATTCACTTTGACGCACTCGATTAGGCGGGTTCTCCAAACATCCTTCTTGTACCGCCGGCACAATGTAGTTGCAGACTCATCACTTTCTAATTCTATTTCGCGGTTCTATTTTCAATTATTCAAAAACTTCTACAACATACAAGGAACAAGCAAGACTATCTACTTCTCAGTAAGTACATAAAGCTGCTCTACATACCGCTGTATTGCGGTCCGCCGCCACCCTCTGGGACTGTCCAACGGATGTACTCCATCGGTGTTTTTATGCTGCAGCATTTGCAGTGTACGCAGTTCTGGGCGTTGATTTGTAGTCGTTTTTCTCCGTTTTCACCCGGCACATACTCGTACACCTTTGCGGGGCAAAAGCGTTGTTCTGGCCCATCGTACTCCTTCAGCGACACGTCGAGGGGGACTGAGGAATGGCTTTCCTTCACTTTCAAGTGCGCAGGCTGGTCGTGGTCGTGCTTGACGCCGGAACGGATCAAATTATCCAGAATATCGAAGGACAACTTTCCATCCGGCTTGGGGTACTCGATTTTTGTATGCTTCTCCGCAGGTTCTGTGTACTCGTGATCCTTTTTCGTCCATCGGCACGTCCATGGCTCGCGACCCCTGTAGTAAAGGAGACCATCAAGAGTGTATGGTTCTGGTATTTGGTAACCTGAATTTGATCCTAAGGGTTCTCTTCTTGTTTTCCCTTAGGATCAAACTCAGGTTACCAAATACCAGAACCATTCAAAGAAAGGATGACGCTGCAGCTTCTGCTAGCTTCTCTATAAAAAATAACTAAAAACAACAACAACATCAGTTCAACACGATGGATTTATTCTCTTGTTGAATTTAAAATCAGTTGTATACACCAAAACTAAAAAACACACGATTCATTCTCTTGCTAAAAAGATTATACCGTGTCACGTGCAAAGCGATGGCTGAGTAGATGAGACCCCCGAAGAGGCCATACTTGAAGCTTGGTTGACAATTCCGAACTACTTTTAACTCGTCATACACCCAACTATTTTCCACCGCTTTTTGGTAGCTGGTTACCTGCACTTCACCAGTCGTGGCTAAATCGCTTGTAGTTTTCTCTGCTGCGGCCGCTTCTCCTTCCTCGCCTTCAGCGTTGGCGGCAAGAATTAGAAGGCGATTTTAATTTCGGCATGCTGCGTGAAAAAGTCCAGCTATGGCGTGCCGAAGGAAGAGACTTAAACACAATGTTGACCACTAGTCTACAACTCCTACTTTAGGACTAATGCACCACAAGCACGATCTACAACAGTCTTGAATGAACAGGAAATTTGCCACCTTAACAGAAAATTTGCCACGTGTTCTCCTGCGAGCGCTCCCGTCTTCAATGCTGTGTGACTTCCTTTGATTTTCGGCACGTTCAAGAATCCCGGTCCACAGCCTGCTAGCACCCCTCCTGGAAATGTCAGCTTTGGAATGGACTGGAGTCCACCTTCATTGATGCAGCGCGCTCCGTAGCTCACGCAAGTGCCTCCTTCGAGATACTTGGAAATACGCGGGTGATGCTTGAACCTCTGCAATTCCTGGTACGGTGACAAGTGCGGGTTCTTGTAGTCCAGTCCGACAACGAATCCGATGTGAATCAGATTTGGCTTCATATGGTACATGAAACTCCCGCCATAGGTGCTTTGGTCGAGCGGCCATCCGACACTATGCGAAATGAAGCCAGGACTGTGTTGAGGTAGTTGTGGGACTATTTCAGTTTGACATGTTCGTTTTTATGTTGAAGGTAGTTACCTACAATTTCTCATCTACAATTTGAGCTAGTAGTCCAACTCCAAAAATTGTAAAAAAGCAGAATCAAAAGTATATAGAAGTACCTAAAGTGTTCGTTGGTTTCAGGGTCTACCTCCCAGACTTCCTTGATTCCGAAGCCGTAATGCTGCGGACAAGATTCCTCAGCAAGATTGAATTTGTCGATGCAGTCAAGCGTCAGAGATCCACGACAGCCTTCCGCAAGAATCACTTGCTTGCCCATAATTAGAGGAGCTAAAAGTAATTTATTTCTTGCTGCTTCCATTTTTTTCACCTTGTTCCTAAGAAGAAAGCAGTGAGAAATCATGACTTGCTGCAGAAATTTGAATTTGAATTAAATTGAGCCTTAACATGAGTTGCATACCCAGTTCGAAACTATCTTTTTGCGTTCCGTCTTTCGCTATGCCCACGTCTTTCAATTGGACACCGATTACTCGTGGAGTAGAACCGTCTACTGCTTCTGTTGATTCTTCTTCGTAGATGAGTTTTTCACCGGCAAACCCTGGGAAAATCTCAACGCCCAATTCTTCTGCCTGTTCGCCCAGCCAGCGACAGAGATTGCCTAGGGAGATGACGTAGTTCCCGTGATTCTGCTGTTCCTTGGGCAACAAGAAGTTCGGCAATTTGATACTCCGTTTCTCGTTCAGTAGGAAAAAGAAGGCCTCTTTTTCGACCGGCGTCTCGTGCTGCTCGCCGCCTAATGGTGCACCCTCACGCTCTCGCCAGTCCGGGATCAACTCGTCTAAGGCGCGTGGCTCAAATTAGAGCTCAAAGTAATTCATTTCGTTAGTTCATTATCATTTCTTTAAGTTTGTTCCCCTTGTAGTTCCCAAGAACAAGAAGGAAGAAGAGAAAATAAAATGACAGACAGACCCTGCTTGGAATTGGAAATGAATTCATTTGAGCCTTAATCAAAGACATTACCGCTCAAAACGTGAGCGCCGACCTCAGCGCCTTTGTCGATCAAGCACACGTTCAAATCGGGCTGCACCTGCTTCGCTTTGATCGCGGCAGCTAACCCTGCAGGTCCGCCGCCCACGATGACGATATCGTACTCCATCTGGTCTCTCTCCACTGCTGCTTCTTCCGCGGCTGACGAGAAGCTCCTTGAACAAGATGCGCTGATTCGAGCACAACGGCTCAGAGGAGACGTCGAGGACCTCCACACCAATGGACACGCAGACGCTCTAGATCTACTTCTCGCGACACCAAAGATTGATCCTCTCGCACCAGCCGCAGCACGTGAAGAAGTTGTACAACTGGTGCTAAACATATGCATGCGGGTCGTGTCCTGAGTTCTCATGCGGCTCTGCCTTGCTGCAACAGAGGTGGAAGAGACGCACCTCGTTGAGTCTGATCGTCCGACCGCCGTTGGAGCATGCCTGCAGCTCTGCCGCAGGTGCACAAGCCCCCGCATCGGTACCAGTTGGCTCGCCATGGTTGCTATTTTGATCAAATACTTCTAAATGAACAAAGACTTCGATATCTTGATGGGCTCACTGGCAGAGTGGAAAAAGCAAGGGATTGAATAAATGGAAAATATTTATGTGGTTGTCATTCACTGAATCGGAAATCGGAATTCGAATCCAACGAAATCTTCAATTTTTTGTATATATAAATTTTTGTTGATTTATTTTAGGAGACTGTGTAGGTGATACAATTCATCATTGTAAAATCTCTACAGTGAAATCTTCGGTCAGACTGTCAATCAACCTTGCACGACTAATCTATGCTCAAAATCAGAATTACTTCGTGTAGAAGAAGGCAAGCAGAAAAGGTGCACTAATAAGAATAAGAATAAGATTAGTTGCAATTAAATATATAATTGCTGCACAGGATGGAATTGGAAAAATATATCAACGCCAAAGAAAAAAACCTTCAAGCGAATCAAAAACATGAGAAACCAGAAAAAGGTGGAGGGGGGAAGGATCGATCCTCTAAAAAAAAACCAGTGGGACATAGAAGTGAAGACCTCATTGCTCGAGCGTTGAATGGGGCTCGTTGCACATTAAAGTGAAGTGAGCAGACCAGACAGAGAATCGATTTGACAAATACATACTCTCAACAACTCGTAGGAACTACACTTCTCTCTGCACTCTTCTATACTTCTGTTTTGCAATGATGGAACAGACGGCAAGAACAGGCTCGAACTCCATCAAGCTGTAGAATGATATAGATATAGATGAATCTATGCCCTTCGTGTTGAACGAAAAACTCCTCACTTGATCCTCGGTAAGCAGCCTGAATCAAAACGCGGCTTCTGCGGAACGCTCAACCGTAATCTGAATGTCTGGTGGCGCGGCTGCAAGACCCTCACCTTGATGTACACATATAATGATGCTCACTCTCACATTAAGTCATCCATCGACTACAAGCTGATCAGCAGCACTCCGTCCGTACTCGTCCTCAAGAACACCATGAATCTTTTCCATCATGATCTGTATGTACCCGGCCTCGCCCTCCTTGTCAGCTTTTTTATCTTGTTCTTACGTATTTTGCTTGTACGTACTGAACGACGATTGAATAACAACAAGACCTTCCAGGGGTAGAACTTTGCCAACCACTGAAAGAACTCCATCTTTCTTGTCAGTTGTGACTAGATTTAGATACTGAAACTACAACATGCGAAAATTAGTTTCATCAGTCATGTCAAGTATTCGTGATTTGTTTTGAATCCAATGTGCGAAGTGTGACTGTTTCCCTCCCCCGTTTTTCGAGAGCCGGAAACAATCGACAGCTACCAAGTATTCATGAACGATAAATCGATACTAGGAAAACAGAAGTTGCTTAGGACATAAAAATCTCTTTAATGTAGCTGGAACTTAATACTTGTCGTATTTGCAGCTAGAAGTGCTCCCAAACCCAAACAGAATAAAAATAGACTGGATTCAATTACAGAGAGCTCACTCTGGTATCATGATAAGAACGAGCCGGGTCTTCATAGAGTTGCAGACAAAGAGATGCAGCTAGAGAGAGAGTCCTTTAGCTTTACCTTCCATCGTTTTCACGATTGTGTACCGCTACAAGCTGTGTGAAGCTTGGTTTAATTTGTTGCAGGTATCCTCCAGTAATTTCAACAGCGTTTCCTCAGTCTGTTCCCTATCGCGTCGCTCCTGCGCAATTTCCGCTTGCATCTTGGAAACGACATCCTCCATCATACCTGTGATAATTTACCTAATATGTTGAAACATTTAATATTTGTGATGCTTGTGAAGATGAAGATTTGAGTAATGCTAAAAATTGTTTGCAACATTCATAACCACACTACAACTAGGGAGGTAACTTTCTTCATCTGTCAAATATTTACAACAAAGGTCAGATTTTTTATCATGCTAGTATTAGTACGCAGCATTGCCTCTTCGGTTTCTTCTCTTGCTCGCTTCTCTGCTACGATACTTTCGTGGAGTCGCTGGATTTCCTCATTTGCGCGCTTGAGAATTCGCGTCTCCATGCCCTCGCGATTTGAAACCTCATCCCGTAATGAGTCGTACAGTTTCGGAATATCCACCTCGAGATACCGCCGCAAATTCTGCTCATTCTCTGCTCGAATACGCCCTTCCTTGACAATGTCTTCCCTCAATAAACTGCTTTTCTCTTCGAACTGCTGGAGCAACCTGGTGAAGATGAGCAAAAAAATGACAGACAATTCGCTGAAGCAAAGAAGCCGGTTGATTGATGTTGCGACACCTACTAGAAGCGAGCCCCAGCACGCAAGCGAGGAAGAGGACAGAATTACAATGTAAAAAAGAACATCGACCAACGCAAAGACACAGACGATCAACAAGCCGGGTGGCAAGCCCAAGCTGCTTAGAGTACGAAGCCCTTTGAGCAAGAACCACAATGACAACCGGCGCGACGGGGGCAATAAAACATACAGACAGTGCGCACACACATACACCCGCGACAAAGCTGCGAGCACGCAAACAAAGGGAGCAGCCTGACGCCTACTTCCGCACATGCATCAGACTCTCAGGAGGCTACCAAATACATGGCCGAGCCCGAGGGAGCCTGCCGATTATATCATTCTTGACACTTCAACGAAGAGAAGGCGCGCCCAGATTGATTGATTTAACAAAAACGCACAAGGAAGCGGCGAAGATGAGGCCATGCCAGTGGCGTGGCCGCCCTTAGTCACTACACCCTGAAAACACTCATACGAACGACACAACGAAGGAGCGGCGGCACCTGCGCGCGCCCACTTCACACGCCCATCCCGCCACCCCCACAAACACAACAACAACCGCAGCCGGCGGCGCGCGGCTCTTGCGAGGCTGGCCCCTTTGCTGCTCTGTGGTGGCCGCGCCTGGTGAGGTCGTGAGGGATGACACTGCTGCGCACAAGCATGCCGGCGCACAGCGGAGCGCGAAAGCCCAACACACACGCCACGAAGCCCCACGCCACTCCGCCACGCACCTGCGTGCACCCAGGCCGCCCGTCCTCGCGCCCCCTAGACGCATCTATGGCGTCAATCTATCGACGTTGGGGCTTTAGAAGATGGGAGGAAGCTCGCTGCAGCTCCCTCAGCGGTAAAGAAGGAAGACCCAACGCAGGCCAAGACGGGAACACCGCCGAAGCGCCGCCGCCTGCCTTGTCGCAGTGCAAAGTATAGGCGAAAAAAAGCGGCAAGCCTATCTTTCTCAGCTTTCCCGCCGTGAGATGTGGCGCCGTGCAACATGCTGCAAGTGTTCGTCGATGGACCGAGTACCTCCGAAAGGCGCCAGACGCTTCCCCGGGCTGCTCTCTGTCTGTCAAACATGACCGCGCGCGCCTCATCATGCAAGCACAACCGCAGACACAGCAAAGCGAGAACCCTCCTCCGAAGCCCGGCGCCGCTCCTGCTCCATTCCCCTCCTTTCCCTTTCTCTGCGTTTCTCATCCGAGGACGGCCGCGCCCCGCCCCTGTCGGCGCGGCTGCTGGCACTTCGTCCACGGCGGTCCAGTGTCTCTCGAAAAGAGCCCACGGCGAGCACCGTCGGCCCCCCGAAGCTTCCGCCCAGTATGCGCAAGCACAGTAGCCCCAGCCCACGGAGACAAGCCTCCGGACTCTCCTACCGGCAGAGGGCTGAGGGGTTTGTGTCTCTGAGCGGCTTGCGCTTGCCCCCGAGCTGGCTAAACCAAAAACAGTACCTTTGTTCACTTTCCCTGCGACTGCTTTGCTCCTGCTCCAAAGCCGCTGTCAGCCTCTGGTCTATTTGCTGTACCTCCCGAGACTTAATCTCAGCAAGGCTTTCCCTCGCGATCTTCTCATCTTCTAGGTCTTTCGAAAATTTACCAAGCTGCTCCTTCAAGAGAACAAACCTGTCACGGAGAGGACTTCTAGGCGTCGTCGGTCCGTGGGAAATTCGCTGCTAAGCTACTAAGGATGAGAGAAGAGACGACGACGACTTCTAAAGCAGGTAAGTATGAGCAATATATTCACAAGATGGGTAATTGATTCTCTGATACTCAAAGTTGGTTTGCAATATTCGGGAACCTTGAAGGGCATCTGAATCACCTATTTTGGAGGATACTTTTTCGCACTGGCATCCTGTGATGTCGTTAGCCGCTCGTCGATATGTTGCAGTTTTCCTGTTAGCTGATCATATCTCGTATTCCTTTCATGCTGTAAACCAACTTGCAATCCCTGCAACCTCTCTGACAGCTTCGATATCCTATCGAAGTACGTCGTCTCTGTGGTGTCGTTCGTAGATGAAAGCCATCTGTACCAACATGCGAAATTACAATTAGCCACAGTTAGAGACGACCTCGGGGAGTTGTTGTCATGCAAGTGCAACAACACCTAAGTTGGATATTAAAGAACTAGTAAGGAATTAGATGGTGATTGCGATGGATACGATAATTTTTTTAATACTCAAGAAACGAAAATATTAAAGTGAAGGTACGATTCTTTTTGCCAGTAGACAGCAGACTGCTGTCACAGGCCATTGGCGACTCTGCTCGCGACATCCTATCGTGAAACGGCGTTTGGCTCTTGCTGTTGCTCGTCCCAAACGAATTACCGTGAGACTCTGCGCATCAGCATTTCGAACGATCACATGTTGTAGTTGTTATAGCTTTAGCTACTTACTAATTCTTCTTGTGCTACTACTTCAATTACTCTTTTTGCTACAACTACATACTTCTACAACTTCTTCCACCTAGCAGATACAACTTAGTTACTTTACAGCAGCGCTTACTTCTTGTTCCGCCTGAATAACTCTCCTGATCTTTTCTAGCTACAGCATTCATTGTTCGCTCGTCAGTATCGTACTCGAGGCACCAACTTCCAGTAGCTACGAGAATGGAATAGATCGGCGAACCACGCTCCTTAGAAGTCGCCTCTATATCCTCCATGCCAATGCCCATGGCTCATAATTACATCAGTCAAATTACTTGCTGATCTTCTCTTGCCTACGACCAAAACAGAAATCCCAGTCCTCCACCAAGCAACATAGAAGCCCTGCTTGTTAAGCTGTTTTCCATCTACCACAGGGTTGCTCCCCTCCATTGCAGACCACTAGCACGATTAGACGGAACAGCAGGAACACCATGAAATAAACTGAGAAGATGTCCTTCTGAACGCGAGGGGAGCTAGTGGCGGCACTTGTACTAGCTCATGCCTAATCTTTTTAGTATACCACCTGAGAATGATCAAATCAGGTGATTAATTTTCCCCATGATGTTGCGCGTCAAATGATATTATCTTTGTCCTCGTTGTATGTATTTGTATGCGTAGTTGAGGAGATTGACGATGTCTTGGGTACGACGTGTCTTCAATGAATACCAATGCTACCTGTCGATACAACTCTGCTGGGCTCGTTTGATTTATGACTATGTCTTACTATGTGTGCGTCTCAAATGATTACTCTCAACCACCCTGAAGCGGTCCGAGGACGAGCAGAGGACGCGCGAACCCTGAAGATAAGGGGATAGACTAACTATGAACTCGATACAGATCATATTTATAGTAGAGCAGGCCAGGCGGGCCAATATCAAAAACCACGAATATCGATCATATTACTACCTGCTTATCTTGCACAACAGGAGTACTTCTACTGGCGCTACTTTGAACGTTGAAGATCATGTTCTTCAACTACGTTGTTGTATGACCACCAGTTGTACAGCCTCCTCAAAAGCCAATTCTACCAAAAGCGGTATGAATCACTTGCCAGTTAGACAACAGGAAAGCGCGAGCCACCGGAAAGGTGTCGGCTTCTTCACCTGTGAAAGAATAAGCATCTCCGAAGGTTTTCATCAAGGGATTTTCCACCTCCTCAGCCAGGAGCGATTCCACTTCCCCCGCTGTTTTCCCAATGCCAGCTATCCCACGGAATCCAGCACGCAAACCCTCTAGAAAGGGATCTACATTCTCAAATTGGACCCCAGTACAGATGTAGAGTTGTTCCAAGAGGTCTTGTCGCCAAGAACCATTGCCAAAGGATCCCGAAAGAGGTTTTTTAGGTGGTGCTGCAGCTGAAGAAGAAGACGCCACCTCCTCGCAGAGACGCTGTAATTTGACACGGTATCTTGCAGCACCATCTGCATTCTTGATCACCTGTACTGCTTGGTCGATACCCACTAACTCGTAGGTGTCCCTTTCGATAAGCGCGTTTAGCAAGTTCCCATCGTTATTCCACAAACTCCGCAGAGGTACTCGGTCCAGATTGTTCATCCAGGCGTCATGTGCATTAGAAGATAACTAACAGTTTCTAGATTGCGTCGGCCTACATTCTTCCATCTACTTAGTCTAGTCTTCTGATTAGAGGAGACTTAGTGGAAGCAGAAGTAAGTAGTTAAGATTCACATCACAATTCATCATAAACGCACAGAGTTGTCCGAGTTGCCGAAAGACTTTCTGGTGGTACTCGGGTGGCACCTTATGCAGCCCGCCGACTCCCTGGAGTGTTTGAACGCCTTTGATTACCTCCAAGACGCCCAAAAATTGCCGCCCAGCACCCATGATGTACTGGTTGATGTAGCCAGCTGCTTCGTCAGTTCTCTCGCTCTTCGCACGGTCTTTCTCAGCTGCGGTTTTGCTGTCGTGTTCTAGTCGTCGTTGTGCCATTGCCTGGGGAGCTGATGGGGCTGATCCTGATCCTCCTTGCGAAGAAGCTCGTGTTGCTTCTGCGGGATTTAGACCCCCGAACTCGACCAATTGGTCCCCAAGTTCTGTGAGTTGCTCCTTCCGCTCTTCGTCGTCAGAGTCCCGAACGTGCAATTTGTTGATCGCTACCAGCATATCGAAAAACTCAGTCGAATCGGGTTGAAACAAGTGGACTATTCTCATCTGGGCAACGCGAAATAGAGGTTCTTCTTGTACTTCTTCTCCTTGAGCGTCATCTACTGCATCTTCTGATTGCGCTTGCAGATCATGTAGTAACTTTTGGCGAGGAGACACGATGATCTGCGCTAGCAAAATCGCGTACATTTCCATGATCCCTCGTTGGAACTTACCACCCACAACACGGCCAGCAATGTTGTAAAGGAAGACGCCGCCGGATCCACCCTGCAATTTATGAAAGGCCTCTAATTTGTCCCAAGCGACAGGTGGCGCTAAGACTTCATTCGCTGGCATGACGGGAAGTTCTCGCCATTCGGTCAAAATTTCCTCTTCGCTTTTTCGCCTCGTGTCGGTCCTAGGCGAGCGGTCTGGAGAAGAGCGTCGTGATGTTGATTCATCTGAAGTTCTGCCATTCTCGGACGGCCGAAACGGAGCAAAATTACCATGATGTTGCCACCTCCGATTCGTAGTATCTGGTATTGCGTTTAACGCACTGCGTGCTTCCTGAATGCTAGTACGGCTGATCTGCATCGACGGCCGAGAACTATGATCCTTCCCTTTTTTGCCTTTCCCTTTGCTGTTTTTTTCTTGACTGTCGTTGTTTTTCTGGCCTTTGCCTTTCTGTCCGCTTTTGCTACCAGGAGTCGGAATCGCAGCGCCCTTACCGCCTCCACCACTAGTACCCTTCGAAGAAGTCGAGTCTTTATTTTCGCCCTCCCCTTTATCTAGCCGCGCCTCAGCAGGACCGTTTCCAGATGAAGATGTTGCTGATTCTTGTTGCGGCTTGCCGCCTCTACTCGCTGAAGATGGAGTCGCGCCGTCTCCGCCTGGGGGTTGTTCGGCACGAGCATTGGGTGCGGCAGCGCTTCCCCCACCTCCTCCGTGGTCGCCCTTTTTTGCAGGAGCTAATTTTCGAAAAGCTCCTATTCCACCCAGCCCAGTCTTTTTCAATTCTTCTTGCGCGTCGCGGCCCCCGTCGCCTCGCTCCTTGTGGTACGCACGTGCATTCACCGAGTCCGTGTCGAAGTTTAGGAAAACTCGATTTCGCGTGACCTCCCGAACTGTCAAGCTTGGCGCACCGACTCCTGAGGTACTCCGTCGAATCCGCGTATTCGGAGATTCCTCGTCTCTATCATTGTTCCGAGGACTCCTGGTCGTCTTCTTTGAAGAAGGTGAGGAAAGACTTTGCTTTCCGTCCGACTCAAACCTCCTGATGCAGCTGCGTTGCAAAGGATACAAAATCTCCGTTTCCAACCTCCCCAACTCCTCGATGAACTGTGGTCGCGGATCAATCACCTTGTTAGAGCTCACACTTATCGTCCCTGGCCATCAGACGCATCTTCTTGGTGCTCCTTGCTCCTTCCAGAACAGCTCTTCCAAGATGCACTATCTGAAGTAACTAAGATGGATCATTAGGGACGAAAGCCTTAACCTTGCGTCGCGCTTTCACGTAGTGGTAGGCCTCCTCGAGTCGGAAACCGTGGAACTCCATAAGGTAGGCAATGGTCACTGCGGCAGAACGCGAAACACCCTGAGTGCAATGCAGGAGGACGCGAGCTTGCGCTTGCGGCGCAACGTCTGCTGGCTTAGCTGTACTTGTAGCCGAATGAAGAACGTCAACGCCTGGCTTGGCTGTACTTGGAGTATTTCCAGTTGTTTCTTGTCCTGGATTGCTCGAAACGGAACAATGGTTCGAAACGACGTCGTGAACCCATCGTGCTGCCATTCGCGCATGCTTCAAGAAGTTCCCTTCATCGCCACTGTCACTGAGTGGCACAGTGTGTTCCACGAAGCGACCTTTTAGTTCCTGTGGCAAAATGTCACGAAGCTCCACTGCAACATTGAGAATATGAGTAATCTGCGTCCGCTTGATCAACTCAGCCTCGTTTTCCGCGTTTCGTCGCCCACCTAGGAAGAGAAACGGCAGAATCTCAGAACTGTGACTACTCCAATGTTCGTCAAAAAAAGCTGCTCTAACTTTCTGTTCACAACGCGGACAAACAACCATCTCCACGTCGTTCTCTCCCGTTGCTCCTGCGGCAGCATCCTCTGCCGGACCTTCGTAGTGTATTAGAGCTGGGACCTATCATGTTCGGCTTCGCGTAGCGTGAACTAAAGGTCGTACTATTGACCGCCGAGAGCCAGAACATAATATACGAAGTTGAAAAACGAGTCAACGACATGCATTACCTCAAGACCGAGGAAAGTCATAGTACTCATATCCATCCTACCACTTGTTCAAACAATTATAGTTCTACTTTTTTAAAGACAGCTTCATCAGTTGCTTGAAGGGATAAGTCTACGAGTAGATGAGGGAAAACTAAAAACCGGTTAAGACAGTTTCTTCATCAAGAAATAACAATTATATAGTAGTTCTACTTTGTTAAAATTTATAAAGACAGTTTCTTGTTCATCAGAAGTTGAATTATTAGTTTGAACTTAAGGCAGCGGCTCCGACTTCGTCCATTTGCTGGGCGCGCTCTTGCAACGCCTTTTCCTCAGCTGCGAAATCGAAAGCTGCACCTTTGCGAAAATCGCCTCTTTTAAGCTGTTTCGGTCGGCTGTCGGTGGGTGGAGGCGGTGGCGCCGCCTTCCCTTTGCCCTTATTTGACGAGCCTTTCCCTTTCATTTTTCTTTTATGCTCGTGGTTGATTCTAGTGTGTCGTTCGTCTTTGTATGGAACAAGACGATTAATAAGTAGGTACTGGTGCAACTCTTAGATTGATTTCTTTGTCTTTCTTGATCTTGAAAACGTTTTCACAAGCTACGTCGACCTTAAAAACCTTCTAAAATGATTTTTCTTGACTTCGGGTTCGGAGAGTACACGCAAAGGATAAGCAGGATCTGCCGGAAATGAACTAGGCTTTAAATGCCATGCAGCTCATTGTCAAATCACCTGCTTGTAACAGTCATGCCGCAGTTTTTTAGTTAGTGGTCGTGCTGCTCGTACTGCTTACAATTAATTATATGTTATGAGTTCTAATGAAACATGGAACAAGTGGGTGCTGTTGAGCGCGCTCTCTCGCCTAATACACACTTTTCTCTCGAAGAACACACACTGACACAGCACGCCAAGGCCAGTACTAAAACAACATCCAAGTCGTGATGTTGCCTTTTTTTGTAGAAGGTAGCTTCGCTTGGACGATCGCTCGATGTAGTAGATGAGAACAAAAAAGACTACTATATCTGTCAGCATGATAAGGTATGACCTCACAAATCCTTGTCCTTATGTCAGAGTTCTATACATAAAATTTTCATGTTCTTATCCTGATTTCTCGTTGCTGCCTTGATGCAAGAGTAGTTGATTCCCTCGTTTTCCATTGCCTCTAGAAATAGCGGTACTTCAGTGACTTCTTCTCGCAGCGTGGCCTTTGAAAAGCACACTCGCTCTTCATAGGATAGCCTAATCGTTACACGGATCTTCCCGTGATGTGCATATGGGTGCTCTGCTTGTTCTGTGACAATACTAATAGCCTCCTGCAGCTCCGTGATGAAAGATATTAGGTCTAAAGTCGATTCGCGCTCGTAAAGGAGGTCTGCACCAAGGAGAAGAATAGTCTCCTGATTGTCGTCTTTCTTGTCGTGTATCTTGTTCGGTTTCTGGTTCGATTGTGGGCGTCCAAGTATATTAGTGAAGAATTCCTCAACTGCACGCTTGCCTCCTGAGAAGTCGAACTGTTTCGCAAAAAGATCAATGCTGGAAGCATCGTCAACCTCAGAATTTTTTCGCAGATTCACCGCAGCCAGAGAAACGGCCGCAGCCGATCGATCGGTACAAGTGACCCTACTGCAAGCCGTCGAAGTCGAGCATGATGATGATTTTGTTGGTTTAGAAGATGACAAAAGTATCCGCATAGCTACAACTGAGCACAGACCCACACCGCCACCAAGCTCCACAATATGTATCCGCCCCGTTTGAGGATTTTGATTTTCATTAAAGAGACTGCCCTGTTCGTCAAGCAGGTAGCGCGCGAGAGCGACAGAACCGCTCCACAACTGCAATGGGATAGCCGCGATATCAACATCATCGTTAACATCCCTAGCACAAGCCGTCATGTCTCTGTCTCGGAAGTGTTCGCACGCGCTACTAGTAGCTCCTCTACTCCACCAGTTGTATTCTGTCAATAGGCTCTTGCGTACACAAAATCGCAGATGGATTGGAAGTTTTGATAAGGAACAAGAAGAATCTGCATCCGTTTCATCTACCTGTACAGCGCTCGTAAACCCATGTCCCCCAGCTAACTTTCTTCTCTTCCGCTCGACAATGATGTCGCCATCTGAATCGGACTCAAAAACGGAATCCTCTTCCTTCCCGAGAAGAACCTTCCCGAGCCGAAGCCTGTCCACTGTCGTCGATGCGTCTACGCAAATGAATGACGCAGGAGATGATGAAGATCCTAGTAAAAGTGATTTATGAAACCAAAATCTCTTATCATTATTGTACTTTTCTACTTAAGAAACTTGATAAAAATGATAACAGATTTTCGTTTCATATGATTCGTCGAAGTCGTTTTCGCCTTTCACAACGCCTACGCTGTCAAAAAGCGAAAAAAAATCGATCGTGCTATGTCGAACAGGAGACGCCTCTTGTTCGACATCTTCTTCGCTGGGTGTATCATGTTCGAGGACACGCACGCCGGGGCCAGTCCCGGTGTCGGTCTTGACCTCAGAAGCCGACGGAACAGTGGTCGCATCTACATTTGCCATCCTGTCGCTTCCTTTGTGCGTGGGTGAAGGTAATTCTACTAAAGGTAGTGTTAAAGGGCCTCGTCTAATGTTCTCTGCTTGGCGGAGTATGACGGACGCGTTGCGTGTGTTACCCCGGTTTGATGTTGCTTCTTCCAAAGCCGTCCATCTTCATGGCAACATCAAGTTGAAGCTCGACGGCGCTAAGCTCGCTGGTTGTAGCGCTGGACACGCTGCTAACCGGGATTGCGATTGTGTAGCTCTCGCTAGGATTGTCGTTTAGCACCTTCGGTCAGCCGCACCGATGCACAACTTGTTTTCATTTTCTACTTGCACTATTCCGAAGAGTAGCAGGAAATATACCAACATGAGGAAGAGGAGCAGCAATGCGAGTCCGAAAATGTGTAAGACACAGCCGTAAAACACCAAATGACCTGAAAAATAAACGAGCGCGACTGCCAAAACTGCTACGGCAAGCCGACCCTTCGCGCCCGTAGTGCGCAACAATCCTGTCGACGGAGAACCAAAGAACGAGAGAAACATGAGCAGGAGCAGAAAAACACCGGCAGACGTCGGCTCTAGAAGGGACGACACGGAAAGAGTAGACATGATTGCAGGATCTGTCATCGCTTTTTCATTCCCAGTTAGTGTAGTGATGAAAACTCAAAGCAGAACCAAGACCCACATAACAGGTAAATAACGCTTCTTCTTCTCTGAGGAAGTAGATGTAGATAGGAGCACTTGTATAATTGTGAGTCGCCAACTTACTTGTAAAAGAGTATGCTTGCTCTTGCTTTCAGGCATTTAAGTGATTTTGATCGGTTCAGCACAACAGTTACCTTTTGGTATTGTCTTCATGTTGATTCCCTACATAACGAACGAGAGTTTTTCAAGGACGATCATTTGGATTTTGGTAAGTACTCAGCGCGTGCTGAGTCGAAAACTCGTGGAATCCAGAACAGAACCCACTCCTTGGAGTTGGACATAGACTTTTTTAAGACTCTCCCAGTCATGGCTTGTGTGAAGATGAAGAAGAGCAAGAGGCAGCCCAACAAGACGCAAAATAGTACGCTGCGCACAAACTTGGATCTCCCTCATTTTTTCTCCCCCTAGAAACAAATCTGTTGAAAAGACATACCCCACCCCCCTCTTATAGCTGTTGTACCAAGAATGATCATCTTCAGGTTCAGCATAATCGATCAGTTGTAGAAAAGGAATCATCATGATGAAGGCGTAACTGTATAAGTGATCAAAGTTGTGTCAATACCTCTCGTGGTCCTCGTAGGCGTCGCAGTTAATTCTTGTTGATGCTATTCACTGCGTCGTAAGCTTAAAAAATGAAGTAGGCGCGACAACAAGTGGAGTCCACTACATCGCGCAGAGTCAGTTAGGACTCGTGCTGCACTACAACGCGCTACAACTTAATCCGCTGATAGCTCTCAGAATCGTATGCAACTACCGCGAGCTCCGGCTGCGTGCTCCCATGACAAATGAAGAAAACCAGAAGGAGAATTCTTTTAAACCATCATACTAAGAATCATGAAATTTGGAGGCAACATAAATTGTTTTTGTAGTACTTCTTGTACAACTAGTAGGAAAGTATAGATACAATGTTGGTTCTTCTTGATATCTTCTCTTTGTAATCAACTACATTACAAAGTTCACCGTAACAGCTCTTGGCGCCTGTGGCGTTATCCAGGTTAGTCCCGTAAGCAGTTTCGTGTCGACAACTGAGCTATGCGCCATGGTCACTCCACTAGTCTCGTCTACTCTATACACGTTCAAAACTGTGTCTTCACTAGCACTCGCGAGCAGTCTCGAGGAAATGAACGGGGTCAATATGGTCCATCGTCGATTGGTGCTTCTATTCTCATCATCACTTAACTATCATGCACAGGAGACGAATCAACAAATTCAAATGCCACTTACTTTGAGTGTAGTTGTCCATAAAAACAGGATCAAACGCTAGTCCTGTGATCCATCTCCCATGTGCAGCTATTTCGGCGAATCGCTCTCTTGCTCCTGTATAGAGCAAGACTCGGCCTGAGCCAAATGCTACTGCTGTCGCTATTGCGTATGAAAGAGAAAGGTAATGCTGAAGATGCCTTTACATGATACATGATCATACCTTCAGACAACATTTACCAGGTGACGGGTCGTCGTCATGCCCCTTGCGTTCAACAAAACGAGCAATGCCTATCCAAAATCGATATTTAGTAGTACACGACAGCTTGATGAAGAAGAAGGTAGTGGTAGAAGTGGTAGTTGTAAGGATGTTTATAAAAAATCGGACAAAACTTTTCATTTCTTTATTGTTTGTATTTTTCATAATGCAGCATTATCTGCTGAGGGCGCATCGGGTGGTATTATGCTCTGTATCGTTACGGGAACGTCGTCAATTAGACCTTTCGGGAATCCATCTTGAGAGTCATCCTGGACCACTCGTTTCTCCCTTTAGAATAAGGAGGTCCAGGATGCTTTTCAAAGTGGGAGATTTCCAGAAGTCATAAGTCAAACGAGTCATGGTGTAGTTGCTCGTGACTTAACGGGGCATCCATATGCAGCCCAGACACAGACCACCAAGTAAGCGCACCATCTTCGTAACCAACTAAAAGCTCGCTTGATTCTGTATCAAAAATGAATTAGTTGTACTTGTTAGAATCGTTGATGTGATGATCAATGAACAATCTTCGTCTAGGTACTTACATCTTGTAGCTCCAACAAGTCGAATAGAGACGGAAAGTAAAATAGACACAGATATAGAGAAGTACACACGACACCCTCGCAAATGAATTGATGAATGAAGGGAGTAAGGCGAGAAAAAATCATCCGGTTATTTTCCTTCTATCATGTGCTTCGAGAATGTCAAAAGAATCAGAATCAAACTACGATCGGGTGCTGAAGACTCGGCTACGCCCGCAGGCCTTCCGACGGTTTCGAGGCAGGTTACACCAGCTGCGTCACCGAAACCAATTCGTTCTGAATTGGATAGAAACTTAGAAGACTGATTCTATTTAAGACGGACGAGAAGATCTTTGAAGCTCCCATAGTCAAACTCAAATTAGAGCAGCTGGATTTTTTTGTAGAAAAGGTACCGAAACAACAACAGTCAGCCAGCGAAAGCACGAACTCTTGTAAGTACTTGTTATTCAACATAATGTTGTTGATAGATAAGCCAAGCCGAAGTTCCTAAATACTTATTTTCACCAACTTCCAAGCCTAACAAAACTCCCTCCGCCAGGTTGGAGACAGAGGTAGCTGCAAAAATGGACCACCCCAACATCATCGCCAAAGCATAGTACTTGCCGACCAGGTTGATGCAGAGAAAGCGAACATGCACCGCGATGACATGAGTTATTAGAGGTAGCAAATGAAGAGCATTTACTGGAACAAGTTGTGCGGGGTCATGATAATTCCTTAGGTGTCTGAATCGTGACGTCATTGTTAATTCTGCCGTGGCTCTGCGCGTGTCCCAGGGAGAGACACTCTGGTTATACGGCAGGACTACAGGAACAGGGATGAATCTACTTATTGAGCTTATGTAAAGGGTCGTGTAGCCATAAGCATGCGGTGCTCTGCAGCTACAGCAGGCGCAGATGGATCCTCCTCTCCTCCACTCATTGCGGCGTGGTTATGAAAGAGGCCACATATTAACAAAGTCTATTAAGTATCTTATAACAAAGCTCGCGAATCGCGGTTTTTTCGGCTTAACTGATATTCGCTGACGCTCCGGGCCCGCCATTTGCCGAGTTCGGAGCGGACGTGTCGAGGGGCACCAAATGCAACAGGAAACTGCCATCTTCTGAGTATATCTGTGTCCCGCCATTATGAAAAGAAAAAGCGGACTCACACGACTTGATCAAAAATAAAGCAGCTACTGCTACTTTCCCCCTGTACTTAAAAAATCCTGGCCAATTTCTTGAGTGTGAGTGCAGTGTAGTTTCCTTTCATAACCATGAAATCCCACACACAATACATGCTCACCAGTGAACAAGCGCAAATACTTCAGGTAAAAGATCTGCCCACCAAGCTGTGGGCCTGGAAAAAAACGACACTGCTCCGGATGCAGAAACGTTACCTGAAGGCGGACGAACGAAGAAAGATGAACAAGGTGACTCACTAAACGATGAAGATGCAGTATCAACGTTGTTCTTCAAGGTGAAGGTCGACAAGACGGATCATTACCATTGGGATCGCGACCTCCCGCTCCCGCAAAATAATTCCAGGTACTTAGTGGCTGTAATAAGACGTGGTAGTACCTTATTTCTCGAGCTGAAGGCTGCCAAGGTGGGTGAGGAGGTCAGGTTATTATCCAACAATGATGGCGAGCAGCCGCAGGGTTCGGCTACCTGCGTGAACAAAGGCGAGGCCGCCATGATCCCGTTCCTAACTTTACTCAAAATTCCAGCACATGGAGTCTCCTCATCCCTCGAAGGTCTAGTATTGTTCTCTCGCTGCAACGAGAGTAACCGATATATTCATCGTATCCTGGTGTGCTCGTTTTACTGTTCTTAGTGGAAAGCATTTATTCCAAAAAAAAGCGAGAATTGTTCTTTCCTGTTCCAGTTGAATTCTTTTCAGGGATTGAAGATATAGTTCATATTGCCTCTGAAGATAAAGTAAAAGTTTTTTCTGCCAAATTTTTCATCAACATTTGACATCAACTTTTTGCAAGTTCTCTCCAATCAAACAACTCTGGGCGTTTGACGTTCCAGGAGCAGGGCATCTCTTGAGTGAGAGTCTACCACGACTTGGACACGTTTTCGCATCATGGACGATAGAGGAATCGACATAGGATAGTGATCAAGCAGAGTGATATCAACTTCTCATCGTGGTTCATCAAGGCACGTAGTAATTTCTGATCTCAGCGCGCGCACAAGCAAATGCTTTTCTGGCAAGGTCACATCAAACAGACACCATTCTCGGACACAAAGCCACGTGTTAGAAGCAGCACATACACAAACCAGTTATGGACGTGGTGCAACCAGCAAGACTTCATCCTTTGGGGGGACAGATTTCCTTTCGGAGACGTGTCTCAAAAGAAGATTCAGTTTCAGATTGCTCATAATGAGTTATTGTGATATATTCGTGTAAACGACTAGACTGTCAAACTCAAAACAGGATGTCCTACTAGCGTGTGAGTGAGGCGGGAGAGTTTCTACTCTGAATGAGCCTGCTAAGTTGCTGCAGCGACTCCTTGAATACGTTGATGTTGTAATCCAGTAGATACTGCCGATCGAAGTTCTCTTCTCGAATAATACACGCAAAAGCGAGGAAATGCTCCACTTGCTTCAGATACAGTAGCAAACCTGTTAGGGATTGAGGTTGAGTGGTCGAAGTTTCATCTTAACCGGCTCCTGACACCTGAATATAAAACAAATATAAAGATAAACTACAAGGTGAAGTTAGTAGTAGGTGTTTTATGATGTAGAGGATGTTAAGATATTGAGGATGTGGATCATGTGCCTTTATATTGCTGTACTTGGACATCAATATGTTGGACAGTCTACCCTACTCCTACAGCACACTTCTAGTAACGCTACATATTGATGTAGTACTCTCTCAGTTCGAGTAGTAACTACAGCATGAGGACATCGTCTACACTAGAATTGTGAAGATCAAACTTAGAAGCAAGTAGAATAATTTGCTGAAAAAGATGGATATTACCGTTTGTTAGTTGAATGACGCAACTCGATTGTGCGTCGTAATTGTATGCGTCGTCCCCTGCTCCCAAACCGTAAATACAGCTCACATCAATGACCACGTCTATCATATCACTGCATAACCTGTTGTGAGTTGGAGGAGTAAAGCTAGAGAACTTGGCTCTATTAAAAAGGATGGAAACAAGAATAATGGGCGACGTAGTTCGAGAGAGAAAAATTAGTTTGAGAGTTGAAGATGGAGAAAGAATGGTGGATGTTCATGTTGACGTTCAAGAAAAATAGTACTGATATTCGTAGAAGCTTCCATCGATTGGTCCGGAATCGGTAGCAATGTAAATTTTGGAAACCACATCAAACAGGAAGCCCTTTTCTATGCGGCAATTCGTAACCAAGAGATCGATCAACTGTTCTAGCACCGGCAACTCCACAATCAGCTTCTGAACGACTTTCGACATAGCCTCAAACACGCTATGGTCGTAGATCGAGGTCACTGGTGTTACGTTTTTTTGTGCAAGTGGAACAGAGGTTCAGGAGCTCGAACTTTTCCTAGGTGATACATTCAACTCGTCTAGTACAGTTGTAGCTTCTTGATTCTCATTTTTACATTGCAGTCAAGAACAAGAGCAGGCATTTGCTATTTCATGTTCTTTTCTTCAGGCCTACTATTACCATGGAAACTCATCTGTAGGTATGGTAACTATAACTGTAGGAATGATTCATATTCGTTCTCTGACATTCATCTGTAGTAGATTCAGCTGTGCAATGACATTTGTCTGTGGTAACTAACAAGGAAATTAATCATTTAATCTAAATCTGTACTACAGTTTTTTTCATTGTAAAAGCAGGCATTGCTTATTTCAAGGCCACTATTGCCATTATTAGGAGAAGGATAGACGGTAAGTCCACTATTACCATGGACTATGATATATTTCCTTGGTTACTATTTCAAGTCTACTATTACCATGGAAACTAATCTGTAGGTCTGGGCACGTGGAGTAGAGTTCGTCTGTTAGCCTTGAGTGGATATCGCTCTGCACAGCGTTCCTATTCTCCTCGTGTAAAAACATATCCCCATCAACTTTGTGTATGAAAATCTCGAAATACACCTTCGGATTCTTCATGTATACTCCTGTGATGACACCTGGAATCAGTTGGAGAGGGAAAGTTATCAACAAGAGTACCTGGAATAAGTTCTTCGTGAGTTGAGGCTATGATTAACATTGTAAGGTGGCTAAGAAGATTATGGTTACAAACTCAAACATCAGAACTACAGTGACAACAATGGGGGAAATATCCAGATGAAGGAAGTAGAACATGGTAGACTCCATCGGAGGCTCGTAGCATTTGTACTTGAACTTGATGAAGTTGTAAAGAACATAACGATAACTACTTTCGTAGATAAAATCTAAATATAATACGTTTTGCGTATGCCAAAGCATTGTAGTATGACTGGTTTTCTTCTTGCGCGTCGATAACAAAAACTAGTGCGCCGCAACTCCAAAGCGCAGCTGTGTCGACGAAGTTGGGGTCTTGCTGGAGGGTCATACCTGGCAAGTCGGAAACTTGAAACTGTATGAGAGAATTATGCCTCACGTTCTTCAGCTCTGGCTTGTGCGTCGTCTCCAGAAACAGCGTCGCATTAGAGGTAGAGTTTTGGTGTTTCTGTTTCCCGTTTGTTCTGCCGTTCTCCCTCAGGAGAGACAAAACAAACGGTAACAGGAGCACCTTTAATCTACCCTTAATCTCATGTGGCGGTACCTTCTGGAAGACGACACGGTTGATGCTCGTTTTTCCAGCGCGGGGCAAGCCGGTGACCACAATTTTGTTGCACCCCGTCGGATTGCCATTATTACCGCCTGCTGGGATCAACATCCTCCACGTCTATGTCGTCCGCGCCGACGACCACAGCAGCACCACGAGCTACTAGTACGCAGCTTTTGCCAGAAGTAAAATGAAAATGTTGTGGAGCACTCGCACTTTGCTTTGTTTTTATCTCCTTATTCTCGGTCGTGGTCTTGCGGTCTTCGTCTTTCTAGTCCGCTTGCTTCAGTTCTTCTTCTAGCTATGCCCCTTGGTCGTTGTTCTCTTCAGATTGATTTCTTGGTATTTCCTGCAGATTATTTTTATAGTGGCATGAGTAGAATGTCGCCGGTCGTCGGTTTTCTCGGGGGTTTTTACTCGGCCTTTCCATCTATCCTGCAGCTGTTAAATCTGTGCGAATAATCTTAATCTTTCACATCGAGGGCTATCTATTCAGGTACCAGGTACAGGCGCGCAAAGGCAAACGTCGCAGTGTCGTAGCGAATAAAACGCGATGATCATGTGGTTGAATCACCGCCTAGCACTACGCTTGAAAAATGGCTAAAAACGCAGAACGGCTTAGAAAGTCGTTTAGACGCACGTATCTTCGAGGAGCTCACCTTGAAATCACTGGTCCTCGTTGTCCGGTTTCTGCAGAGTAGGAGTGCCCAGATGAAGCAGACAAGGTCTTACTGAGGCGACGACAACGCCCAACGAGACCACACTCAAAGTCGTGAAAGACGCGAACCCAGATTTATTCTGTTTGGCAGCGAATCAGCCGAAATCCATAAGCAGGGGATCATCGATGGAAAACAAGGATGAAAATGAATGTTCTCTCTAGTACATTAATTGATTTAATATTCGGGAAAATAACAGAGACATCAAAAGACGGGGAAACAAGAAAATCAAAATTACTTAGAAGAAGTCTTCAACAGCAACCAAAAAATGTAAAAATAAACATGGAATGAGATGAACTACAAGAACTTACCCATCCAGCACCAACTCCTACTGATTACTTTATATGCTTCCACGATCACAAAAGGACTATGTATTTATGGATGTGTCAAAACCTGAGTAGGAGTCAAGACTATTGATATTTTTCATCTATGATCTTCTTCTATCTACGATCAACAAACACACAAATTCTATTCACTCCTCTGGTGCCTCCAAAATAGGTAGTCAACACCAATTTAGGCACACATGGAAAATTCGAACGCACTTTCTTAGAGGCAGAAAGGACAGCCCAAAGAGGTAGGACAAGAGAAGGAGCGGATTGTTCCTCGGACGCCTTTCTTTACACGAAAGTACTTGTACTGGATCCTCACCTGTGAGCCTTAGGACAGCGACAGAGAGCAAGAATCGTCTTAGAAAATCGATGCCACCGAAGTTGGGACCACAGACCTTACTAGTACTTAGAGAAGAGCATGCACCCGAAAAGTAGAAGCAAGGAAACACGCCCTGGCTCATTGTGATTTAGTCAGGCGTTGTGCAAGAGCAACTGTGCGAAGGAACGGATGACTGGCACGAATTTTTGCAAACGCGACCATGACGTCGCCCTGGCGTGGTACATGTCATCGTCATGGCTCTTTGCTCGACAACAAAAAGTAGGAGCAATATGTCAGCATGAAGCCTTCTAAAATTTCTAGTCGTTGTAGAGCAGCAGGACCGCTTCAAAATAATTCAATTCGGTTCTATTTCTTTGTTTTCTAGTAGAGCAGAACCAGAACCTGTAGGAGCAATGCTTCTAGCTTTCTTGGGTGAAAGCCTGCTAGTTGAAGGGTATGGGGTTGGGGGCGGACGCAGTCTCTTTGTGTAATCAACAGTCTCTTCATAGATCCTTTTTCGTAGTTGCTGCTGTTCCTCTCTGAGTCTCGCTAAGGCTGTGTTTCGTCGATTCTCGTCACCAAAGACAAGATCGAGAGTGACTCCACCTCCACTTGTGCACTCCGAGTCGATGGATACGCTCAGTCGACTTCCTGACTGATCTATCCTTTGGCTTTGGATGCTAGCAGAATCGTGACAAGCTATCAAATCAACCGTAGGGAGTTGCTCAATCTGTTTTGCTGACATTGGGGCCGCTGGGTACGTATTCGCAGCTCCACGTGATGAAGAAGATAAGAACGGGCTTCTATCTGCTCGCGCCAGTGCTACTACTTGTTCTGGTCGTGCTCGCCTCGAGGATGGGTCTTGTTCTTGAATGGAAGTACACTCTGTATGAGAATCTTTTTCATTATCATTTCTCAGCATCATCTGTTCTCGTCCACTACGAGGATTTTCTGTCAGAAGATCTACTGCAGTAGGTCCTGGACAGAGGAGCGATTCGCTCTTCGGGGGATCAGCCAAGAAGGCATCAAGCGCCTCATCGTCGAGGTCTTCGATATTTTTCACCGACAACAGACGCTGCAAAACGTCCTCGCCCATAGAGGGTTTTCCGGGAGCTCTACCTAGTTTCCTCTCTTCTAAGTCTAAGCTATCCTGCGAAGGCGGGTTTTTACAGTCTGGCGGTTTTACATTCTGTTGATTCTGCTGTTGCTCTGGTTGTAGTACGGTTGTGGAGGGAGGCCTGCTAATGCTCTCCTGTGTCTCGGATGTTGCTGCTTCGGATGCAACTGGTGATTCCATAGCGTAGTAGTTTTTATTCATAGTATAATCCTTGATTCTGAAGGACGACGCTGAATCCAGTATAGATGATGCGTCAGGGTCAGGAAGAACTTCGCCACTCTGTGTCCTCTGTCCTACTCGGACAGCCTCTGTCGCTGATGGAGGTGGCTCCAACAACGTGGACGATGTCGCACTACTGCTAATCGTACTTGTACTTGTCGTTCTTTTCCCAATTAAAGTATTAGAACTCACTCGTCCAATCCATACTTTCCCTCATCTGCTTGTTCTATCTGTCTAAGTACCTGAAAAAAACAACCACAGATGTGCTAAAAGATGGACTAAGGACTAGGAAGGCCTTAATAGTACCCGCCTGCGCAGTTTTTGCCATGATGTTGTGGGTGTCAGAAGTTGTAGTAGAGGATTTCTCTGGACTTGTCGTTGTGCTTGTTTTGCGCTTGAATAAGTAGCTCCGCAAGTCCGAGCTTGAAGCGACGGGAGACGCCTGCACACCTCCACCTCCACTTTTGGGCGGCGAGTTCGAGTTCTGTTGTTGTTGTTCTCCAGTCGTTGTCGTGCCAGGATTCATTAAATGTTTCATGTCAGCTTGTGCTGCCGCATGAAGATGCTGAGCTGCGAGTCCAGACCCTATACTGGGTCGCTTGATTAGGTACGACGATAAGAGGTTGCCGCTGCTGGTGGCACCGCTGACGCGGCTTGATTCCATATCTGCATTCGTTGATTCCATATCTGCTTGCGGCGATACGGGTGGAGGTTTCGCCCGCGGCCCCTCCAACGGGTGCGCCGCCGCCGGCGATCTACTTCTACTAATATCCCTATTTGACTTCCCACTGCCAGAAGCGCTGGCTATCATCCGCACACGAAGCAGTGACACAGCGAGTACAGGCACACAAAAACCTGGCGCAGCAGCGGGAACGCAAAGGACTAGCTGGGCTTCATCAAACAGCAAGTAGAGGTTTACCCCGTCCTGTTGTCGAAAAACAACACGCGTCGTGGTGAGTGAAGATGATGTGCTGTGTTGCTGTTTCTCAGAAGGATGATTCATGGTGCAAGATTCGACCAAGATCACGGCGAGACGATCTCGATCCCCTATGAAAAACGGGTGTCCCCGCTGCGCTGGACGACTGCTATGTGCGGCCCGCGTAAGCATTTCTTGCGATGGTTGCAAAAGTACTGGTAGAAGGGAGGGAGAAGCGGCAATGTCGCTGAGAGGATGTTCATTTTTTAGATTCATCTTGCGGTCATACAACTGCTCAAAATTATTTTCCTCTTGCCGTCCTCCACCAGGCTGCAGTTCTTTTACACCCTGAAGTGCCTGTGGTGGAGCCGAAGAAGCTGTGCCTGGCTGTAACCAGCTTGCCAGGAAGGGAAAACCTGTGCTGAACATCTGAGTTGCGCTATTCGGAACACTGCCCGCACCCTTTGCCGCGGGAGCTGCAAATAGTTCTCGCTGTTGCTTTTGCTCCGACGATGATCGTGGACGCGCACCATGATCATGAAAATCAGATGTTCCTGCGGAGGTAGATGGTATGACTTGCGCGCTCCGCAGTGGCATTCCATGGTCGCCCCCTAAGGCGACGCTCGACCACGACAGGCCGCCAGGCGCACCACCACCCGCATCCGTCCCTCCTAGAGAGGATGAGGGAGTAATGCTACCACTTGGTGCCACGAGTTTCGGCGCCATCGCGAAGCCAGGAGTAGACGCCAACGTTGCCTGTGTTGACACTGGATCACTTAAGCTTAACCCCGTTCTCGTAGTGGGATCAACACTTGCAACATGAAATCCACCTCGCTGATTGTGGAATGATCCTGTTCCCGTTGCTGTTATCATGGTCGTGCCATCATGCTGAAGAGCCGTTGTAGTACTACTGCTCGGCGAATCTTCATCACAGAGGACTAGCAAGTCCTCCAAAGAAACCACACTGAGCAACCCGGGTATAGCCGGCAGTACAGCGGGCTCCAATTTTTGCGCCTGCTCGAGAGAAGTCCGAATCTGCTCTTTTTCTTTCTGATTCCTGTATTCACTTTCAGAAGAAGTGTTGGTCGTAATGTTGTCTCGATCCTTAGTCGTGGTAGACGCAAGTGAAGTACTATTTCTCCCTAGTTTTGAAGAACCTTGACGGTCAATTAGACCTTCTTCGTTAGAAGGCAACGATCCTGCTGTGCCTGATCTAGTACCGGTCTCAGACGACGATGTCGACTTCGTATCGTTTAGACTAGTATTCGATGACGGCGGCAACGTCGGGGTCGGTGCCCTCGAACGGCCGGGCGGTGGGGCACTTGACCGAGCTGGCCGCTTATGGAGGTACCGACTCCTGTCTTCTGTTGCAACTCCTGCCGGTCGTGTAGTCGTTCTCAGTTTCTTATCGCTCGTAGACTGCTGATCGCCAACGGCGGAGAGGGAGACTGAAGACATTTCACCCGCACTACTTGGTCTTCGATTTTCTTGCACCATGGCGCTTCTAGCTGTACTACTGGAGGTAGCTCCTCCTGTAGAGGTCGAGGTCGAACTCTTCTCGTCAGCAACCACTGACACGCTTCCGATCCACTCTCGTAGCTTTTGACTCTTCTCCACGCGGCCACACGCAGAGAGCAAGCGATGGCCCCAAACCGCACTGGCGCGGAAAAACACGTACGCTGATGAACTGACGTTGTTTTCTTCCCTCGTGCTCGGCGCACTGAGGCAGTGAGGATCAGAGGAAGAAGATGCGAGGGTACAACTAGACGGCGTTCCGCTTGTTCCAGCAAGTGGTTGTACAAAGCTACCGGGCGGCCCTGACCCACCAGGAGGCAACGCTGACGTGCCCAAACTAGATGCTGTTGTCGCCGCAATAGACCTACTACTAGGTCTGTCAGTTGTATAGCCTTGCTGCAGATACTCATCTCGCAATCCGCGGAAAGCGTCACTGAGCGAGCTACTCGTAGTTTGACGAGGAAGCGAGCTCTTTTCGGTTGCTAGAGCATGCGAGCGGTGCAGTGCCGACAGACGAGACACTGAAACGTGCTCTTCATCAAACTTCTCATGCTCCTGAGCCCGACTATTTGGAGCTTCTCTGAGTATAATCTTACTCTCCAGCTTTTGGTGCAGTACACTCAAGAGCTCGGAAAGAAGAACAACGGAAGCTGATCGCGTCTCGACTGGCTGTTTATCGTCGGTTGGCGTTTCAACACCTTCTCGCTTCTTCAGCCCACCACCATCTTGCTCATGCTCTCTTCTTACTCTGTCACGTGCGGCCTCAAATAAAAACACAGCCTCAAGTGTCCGCAGAACGATGTCGACAGACGTTCTATAGCTTCTCGATGTCGGTAAATCCTCAACATTCCAGGAATATTGCGCCAGCTGCAACACAGCATTGCTCAGAAACTGCCCCACTCGCAAAGCGGGGATTCGATGCTGGCGAGCAGGGCACCAAGAAGACTTTGAGGACTTGGTGGAGTTGTTCGAATCAACATCACAAACCTGCTCAAGAAACACCTGTATCAGCGAGCACGCCGCACGCAAACAGAAGAGTGGCCCAGGTCCACCTTGTGATGAGGAATGAAGAAAGCTCCCACTGAGGTGCTGCTGAAATGCTCTTCGGACTTGGCGTATCAAATCAGCATGGAGAATCGCCTGGCGTATCAAATCAGCATTGTGCGAATAATCCGCTGAAGGAGAAGCATACGAGGACGTCGAACAAGTAGTAGATGCTGACAATCCTTTGACGTACCCTTCCTCCGCAAATTCCACTAGAATTCCTCCTGCATTCTTCATTCTCAATTTCTCAGAGTTTATTGAATTCTTCATACCTCCTGTGTCGCTTTCGTATCTCAATCTCCGGGTCTCCGTTTCTTCGGGCACAGCACGGGCGCCTAGAACAGCGGATACCGCCGGTGCGAGTTCTGCACACGCGTCGTCGCCCTTGTTACCACAACCAATAGATGAAGTAGGCACGAAAGTTCGGTCTTGACGTGACATTATCCGATGCGCGAATTTCGAGACGGCAGCGTTCGATTCCGCAATAATACTGGATCTGCCAGTTTCTTCCTCTTCTACTGTATGTTCTTGATCATCTGGTTGTGGGGGCTCCAGTAGGTAGTAGAGAATTTCGCTAAGCAGTTTGCGACCACTAACGGAGTCTCTCATGGCCAAAGAGAGCTCCAGCAGGAGCAACAACGAAAGGTCTGCACTTACATGTTCATAGCCGTCTTGCACGGAGACTACTACTTCTCCACCAGATTGAAGCGCGGCGCTGAGTCCAAGATGAATCGTCGTCCCTTCGTCGCGGCTTCCTTCTATTTTTCCTGCATCGCAGACTACTTGATCCTCTGGTCCTTCCGTTTGTATCATAGAGGTACTACCTGCCTTTACATTATTTGCAGTAGTTCTTGATGAAGCGAAAAACTTCACCACGCTCGTCGATGAAAAACCAGTCTCTAGTATTGATGTGTCGCAGTCCCTCCTGTCGCCTAGTCCTGCTACAACATCTCGATCTGCACCCTTGCGACGCGCTAGCAAGCCTTAGACCTTACCGATATTCATCTTGAAGCGCATCCGTAACGGTTCTTTTCCCCTTGAAAGCGCGACAAAAAGACGACCTGTTCCTTCTCTCCTCCTGAGATGAATTTATAACTACTAGGTAGCCTTAAAAGCCCCGCAATAAGATGCTTCTAACGACGAAGGTGAAAATGGTCTCTGCTGCTCCATCCGCTGCCAGGCGCTGTGGCATCGCATCCACAGCATCTGCAAGGAACCCGAGATGATCGGATTGGGCCACGGATATGAAGAAAGATGAAAAGGACAACGTCGTCATCATCATGGTGTCCCATTTAGTACCACTAGCCTAATGACGGGACAAAACAGTTCCAGCAGTGTGTCAAATGAATCAAAATGCGCAGGTGCAAGATGTTGCTGAGCAGGGACCACATGGATAAAGTTGATTTTCTTGAGTGCAGATTTGAAGAGCGTAAAGACGCCGATAGAATAAAAGAGTTTGCAATTTAATCACATCACACAGACTAGTACGCACACTTCTCATATTGTAAAGACTTCTGTCCCGTTTTCGATTGTCAGCAACGAGGGCGATCCACCGCCTCCAAGCGACGCAGACATCGATAAATAGCTGCACGCATTCCCGTCGGAACCATTCCACTACGCTCTCGCTGAGCCTAACGTGTGGTGCCGACTGTAGAGAAATATTCACCAGGGACTGCCCGTGAGGAAGAGGATCGTGATTGTTTTTAGAAGAGAGACACAGAGTCGATGAGAGTAAGTCAGTGAGCACAGGAGCTTACTTATTCTATCCGTTGAGGTTCCCAAAAAATCTCCTACCCTTAACTACAACTTGCGAGAGCGAGCAGACGTCCTTGTTCCCCCCAGTATCGGTAAGGCTCTGCAGTAGGTTCAAGACCAACAGGCAGGTGTTTCGCGCTTTGATGCACACGCCGGATGACGGACACCACATGAGGCGGATCGCCTGCGTCAGCACCGGAAACCGTCGACTGTCTAAATGTCAACAAGTTCTTTTTAGACAGAAGATGGACTCGTTAAAAAAATCAATAAGAAATACAAAGTAGTCTAAGCTACATCATCTGGTGTTAGCAAATGAGAAATTAGATACAGGGTTGAACTTGAAGCTGGTTGACCACAAACGCAAACTCAAACTACAGTACACCACTTCAGATAGACGTTACATCAGAAAGCAGACAAAGATGATTAATATCCTAGTACCATCCGCTGTCTCCGTATCATCAAAAAAGAGGTGGAAAAGGTTCGCGTCTTTGTCGTCCAGTTCTTGCCTCGCTTCCTCATTCAGCATATTTGCGATATTGCAAGGAATGAATCAAAATTGGGGTATGTAACGAGAAGCAGGAAAGCTAGTGGTACAAGAAAGTGACACGTCTGCATGAAGTTATCCTAAAAGTGAAAACCCGAGCGCCGATAGCGTCGGGAACAAATAGAGCCGAAGGGTGCCGTTCATCGCCCCAAGCTCCGCATGATGCCGGTCATGGCAGAAGTTACTTTCAATATCTGCAAATTAAATCGCATGGTCCTACATAAAAATGAGTGTTGCAAGAACGGCAACAAGGTCCGACTCAGGTTCCGCATCTGGGATGTTGATAGCGCATATTGCATTGAGAAAGTGCGCACTTTGGAGGCAGCTCATCAGCGGGCTGCCTTTCGGAGCGCTTGAAACGAGCATTTGAGTTGACCGCACGATTTGCTCCGCTATCTTCATCCTCGCAAGCTCGCCTTGGTCCTCCGCGTGGTGCAAGTCGTGGCAGAAATTAGATGACCAAATATTAAATGGCAGAGATTTCAAAAGCCAGACTTCTAGAAGCAGCACAGTGTCTTGTCGTCTTGTGGTAGTGGTTGTAGATGTAGTCGCATGAAATCCTCCAACATGGTTCTTAAACAACTAACTAGTACTTACTGTTACTTGTTTTTCAACATCATAGCCGCCTTTCCCTGACGCGGCACTGATAGATCGTGATTCGGATTGCTAGACTTGTTAGTCGCATGATGCGCACATTCTTCCACCAAAAACGCGAGCCGTTTGACACTGGGAAAATTCGCGCTACCGCGTTCGCTTCCCTGAGGGCATCCTTGGCGTCTTTTTCAAGTAGAAAAAGGGCCAGGGATAGTGCTGAGGATGCATCAGCGGCAGCCTTAAGAAAAAACTGGTACTGGATGGCGAGTTCAAACGCCTCTAGCCCTTGATGACTGCCTTCCTGCAGTAACGCTTCTCCTACGATGTCGATGGCGCACGCGAGACGTCGCCCGATAGAGTCTATTGTCCAGATAGCCCTCGAAACGCCGCCAGGTCCTGCCCTCTTACTTAGAGCCCGCCACGCTATTTCACAAAAATTCAATCGTTTTCTTCTACGCTCATTGTCTCACCAGGATCCTATCATGTCATGTCAACATGGTGCCTCTTGTATAGCATTGTGTATCTATGTACGAGGCCGTTCAGTGAAGCAGTACCTTCTAAGAAGAAAATGAAACACAGATTTAATATACCTACTTAACACTCAACATCTGTGGACGTGGAGAAGGAGATGAATTACCTTGAGCCTTAAGTTGACCGAAGTTGGACTCGTTCTTCCGTAGTTCGTGTTAAACTGATTTCCGTATGCGTTGAAGCGCGTCACATATGAGGCACCGGACAAAGCCTCCCGTAGCTCCCCATGCACATCAGCCGCGGCATCCCGCACGAAAACACACGCAGCCTCCAGAGACCCAAACTCCCCTACTTCCCCTCGGCGAGGCGCCCCACCAGTTGGAGGAGAGGCAGACGCCCTGGGAAAAAACAACATATTCTCGTTCTTCTTCTTGGTTTTCACTACAAGAAAAATCGAATGAGGAAGATAATTCGCAGGAGCGCTACCTCCTAAGCGCTACCTCCTAAGCGCTACCTCCTATTCTTCTGTAATATCCATCATCGGTCCGTCTTTTTTAGCAAGAAACTTTCCATGTCAACGAGTAGTTTCTATCGAGTTCTCTAGTAGTAGTATCTAGTTAAAATATAGCTGCTAATAAAAGAAAAAGCAATGTAAATCATTATCATCTGAGGGCAAATTATAAAGTTGTATCTTTGTGTCAGGCGTTGGCCTCTTGTCCTGATGCTGGGGAGGTTGTATCTTTTGAATCCACAGACTGAAGTAGTTCAGATGTCAGGTCACTCTTTCTTCCTCTTCTCTCTCTCTCTTGCTTCTTCTATCTTCTCTCCTCTCGTTCTCTCTTCTTCTTATCTCGTTCTGCACATCTTCACTGACCTGAATGTACCCTCCATGCTCCGCAGCATCTTTCACAGCATGCTTCCAACATACTGCACGACCACGGTCTTCATCAGTTACTGATGATTGATTTTCTTGACCCAGCACGACAGATACCGATCCTGATCATCGCCAGAAGGAACGCGGGAAGATCGGTGTGCATCTTTTGACTCAAGTTGAGTCCTCAACACCAATCAAGAACCTTGTAGGAAAGCTATACCAGCAGCCAGGCAGATGAACACCTCTCTTTCCATATCACGTGCAGCTCGTCTGCTCCTTCCAAAGCTATTGCCCGCAGCTACAGCTGTCTTCTGAGAGATAACACCTCTTTTCCTCTCAACGAAGAAGTTGGATGATGAAGTTTTGGGTGCAACACCCGCTTAAGAGGTATTTAGATGATGATGAATAGTCGTAATGCTTCTCGTAACAAATGTGTTAGTGTCCATGGACGGAAAAATACTCCCAATGAAGGAGCTGGCGATGCGTTTTCATTCCATGCTTTCGCAGTTCTTTTTAAACCCTGTACTAAAAGTTGCACAGCGAGATCACGAATCTCAGTGATTTTTAATTTTCCCACGAGGGGAATCCGCAGGCGGCTGACTGCCTACGGTACTATAGCTCCTCATGGTTATATTCTTGAACTTAATTAAGATGAAGATTAGGAAGATTAATTTCTACACTAGTAGTACACGATTGTTGTTCAACATGTGATCATGTACTATTTTTAGAGGTTGAGAGTGCGACGACACACCAAATGAGAAAACTATCCAAAAGATAGTCATGATACTGGTAGCGCACCAGAAGAAGTGTGTGTGCCCTTTTTCGTTTTTCATGTTGACAGCCAGAGGTAAAAAAAAAATACGTAATTATATCAAATGTAGAGTATCGATATGATCTATGCCTTATCGCCCCTGATGACCACCAACGTGGAATAGTGCACTACATGTTTTACTAGCAGCAGGATTTTGGTACGAAGAAGGACATTTATGAATACAGACAAGTAATTAGCGAATGGTTACATGAAAGGATTAATTGAGTGCTGGCGTTTTTTTATTCTCTTAATTTTGCCCTATTGAATCTTTACATGAATATCTGACAATGAGGACAACATGCACAAGCTTGTTTCATTTTTCCCCAGTCTCCATAGACAGTTACCAATTATGATAAAATTTGTTACAGATACAAGACAAAGAAAACATCCGCGGTCCAACCCCGCACCAAATATTTATACAAGTATTGACGATGAGCTTTTACGTCTGCGACAGCTCCTGTCGACTTCGCTGTGCCTTTTGATTGATTATCAGTTTGTTATCTTGTCCTCTATGGTCTCTTAGCGTGTGGAATTATTACCCTTATTAAAGCTCCTCCAGCGAGATAAGCCCGGATCAAGTGCATGATCAGCATTTTCTGTGCTGCAGTGATCGTTAACACTAGTACTTGCTTGCGGTGCGTTCAGCTTCAGCTGAATCAATGCAACACACGCTCTACGGGCACCTCCGTGAACAACGTTGATAAAAACACAGAGTCTTTTACGGCTATTCGGATTACTTACGCTCTACGGGCACCTCCGTGAACAACGTTGATAAAAACACAGAGTCTTTTACGGCTATTCTAATTACGTACGGTTCTTGGGAAGTTATAGTTTTTGCCATGTGCTGCCGTCATAACAACTTCCGAGTAGCAGTAGCACTAGCAACTACGCGCCTCTAATAAACTGAGTAAGCCCTCTTTAGAAATTGACTGAAGAGCAACGAGCTCTGTTTCCATCCAACATCTTCTGTATCTTCCGACTGTCATAGGTAACTGAAACTGAGTAAGTCCAATTCTGGTGCCTTAAGATTCTTGATAATCAATTGTAATGAGTGAATAACTAAGCCCGAACGTTCTGCTGTAAGATTGCAATAAGTGAAGTTGTAGTTGTAACTGAGCAAGCCCGATAAATAACGTCGTTTTCAAGGCATTTCTTTGCTATTTTTTGTTTTTGTTTGGTCCCACATCCTTTCATTTCATGGGACGACAACCACAAGGTCTTCCAATGCCATGATAATATGGATCCAATAATCACGAAAATAAATCCTTTGTCACAATTTCGCTAAAAGAAAACTACAACCAAAGAATAAATTGACTCTGTCCTCCTCCGATGCTGTGGCTGCTTGAATCAATCTAAAACTTACTGTTCGTGTCATGTTGGGGGTGTTCGTCATGTGTTGGGGGGAGCAGAGAGAGAAGGAAAAGGGGAAAGGGAGAATCATCTTGATCTTCCATGATGATCACGCATGTAGCACTAGAAAGGGCAGTCTAATACAAGATATAATCAAACGACACGACCAGACAGGAACGAGTTCGAAAATGAATAACCAGGAGGCTCTGATGTTTGCATCATCGACAGAGCACCATAATGCTCACCATCGCATACTGAGCATTAGGGCAAGGAGCAGTGCCTGCAAGGAGTTAGGCGAGATTTACTTCTGCGTCTTCTTGCCTATTCTTGGTGGTTATTTGCTCTTATAATTCTGGTACAGTTAAATTTGCTCTTATTCTCTGTTATCTTCTATTTACAACACGACTATGATCTTCAGAGTACCATTTGCTGGTGTGCTACAAGAGTGCGTGGCTTCTTCCTCCTAGTTTTTTTATCCACATCCGCCTAAGTGGGCGAGTCCTGTCTGGTTCGTCCGTTCGCAGACGTCCACCTTCTAAATGATCCAGTCCAGTCTGGTTAGTCGTTGTACGTTCGCAGTCGTGGCAGCTCCACATCCTCCATATGCAGTTGGTGTTTCAAGTCGACGCCGGGACGCGGCGACAGGAGCCTAGCTGGAGAGGAGAGCATGTCTGGAACAAAATCCACAGCGTAGGTTGTGCAACTGTCCGCACGATTTCTTCCTCTCCCTCTATGCACACGTCTTTATCGGCTTTGCTTCCAATCTCCTCGACGTCCCTCTCTATAATTATATCGGCGTTCGTTGAAGATAGCAGACCCTCTCCGTCTCCTGCGGAGGTCCTGGTTCTATTTGACGTTGTTTCGTCCCTTATTTGTACTTCTTGCGAGGATGGAGATGATGATGCGAATAGAGAGGAAAAAAAGTCACTGAGAGCCCAGGAATCGGGCAGCACAGCAGTAGAAGATGTTGAAGAAGAAGAGGAGAACCCCTTACTTATTGCCGTTGATGTCGTAGCAGCACGCGGACTAGAAATCTCTTCATCATCTTCTTGTTGTCCTTCTACTACTAACATCTTTCGTCCAGTTGTGTCTGTGTCTGCAGCTTCACCTTCTCGTCCCCTTCCACGAAGGCCTCCTGCTACACCTTTTCTACCTCCACCTTTAGGATCGTCTACACCCGCTTCATCTCCTAGGTAATCCAACTCTTCCGCGATATAAGACGGTTTACTGTGACCGCAGGATATCGCAGGACTCCTCGTCTCCTCTGAGGTGGACGCGCCATTCGTAGTGCTGCACGATGCTGTAGACGCCCCATTCTTCCCATTGCTGCTCAGCAAACCTGGAGATCCTTCCGGACAGGGCATCGCATCCTCCGTCAGCGCATCGCCACTTCTAGCTGCTTCTAGTACTGCGCTCAACTCTCCCCCAACTCCTTTTGCTTTCATCTTGGAGGAAGCTCCTTTGGTACTATAAGTGGTCGCTGAGTTATTATTGGCGTTGTTGTAGTCCTCTGTTCTGGGCTGCAGGAGGGGATTGGGAGTTGCTCGGGATTGGGATGTACTAGGCATTGTTTCCTTGCTGCGACTCGTCTCCTTGCTAGGTTTGGATCCCCCGAAGGTCGACCCGAAGCCTGAGAAAACTTTCGCATTTTCGCGGCTGGACGTACGGAAAACTCTTGGCAGCTTGGAGGCTGCTGCCTGCATGGCTCCGGAGGTGGATGGTTGGGGCGTTGACGTGGAAATCGTTGCTTGCTGTGATGTACTTGTACCAGCAGAGGTGGAAACCGACACCACACCAGGAGGAGCACCTGCACCTTGCTTAGAAGTTCTACTGTTCACGGTGCTGCTGTTGTCCTTGCTATCCTTCCCTGTCGTGATAGAAGATGCAGCGCCCAGGACTTCCTCCCACACTTTCAAGGTTCCTTTTCTCGATACTTCTTCCAGAAACTCGTCACTTGCCCAAGGATGCCCCGGGTGATAGTCATCTCGATACTGTGCTTCCCCAATTGAGCCGCCCAAAAAGTCCTGAGAACCAAGGATGATGATTCCAACTACAAATCCATCTTCAGAGTATCAACTTCTGCATTTGCTGTACTCCATCCTTAACAAGTAGATGATGAACACATTATAAGTAGTTGTACGTAATTAAAAATCCTCAAAATACTTATATATAAACACAAATCTGCTCTCATAACTCCGTATATGTAGTACCGGCAGCTGGCTCTTGTCGATATACTGGTAGATGTCTTCATGCTTCCGCTTGATAATGACCTTTTCAGCCGTTCTTGGATCTAGGAGGCCCTTAAGGATATTCCAGGCCGTTTCGAAACCCCAAGGAGCACCGACGATAATGATCTTGTCTGCAGACTCTGGAAAATTCTCGGAACATACCTGTAGTTGGCGAAATAAGCTTTGAAGCGGAGAGCACAGTACTGGAAAGAAAGAATGCTACACCTAGATGAAATAAGTAGAAGATGGAAGAGGAAGAAGAAGAAGAAGGGGAAGATGATGCTTGAAGACCTTAGGAAGGTGAGCAAATAGTAAACCAATGTTTTCTCTTAGATCAAGGTAGAACGAATCTGTGTGTTGAAGAAGCAAAAACAAGGAGACTGGTACTCTGCCTCCAATGTAAACAAACTTAAATTTGTTTGGACTTCCTTTTTTTAGTATGGTGTAACAACGGTACCCTCGACATGAGTTTGATGAGCTTTCGCACGATTGGATGCCGTGCTAGACTGATTGAGACGCCGCGAAGATCGACCACTGACGTATTCCCAAAGATTGGCTGACCCGTTTTCCGAGACACAGCAAGGTACCTAAGAAGGCAGAGTGAAGAAAGCTTAATCTAAAATAAAATAAGCTGATGAATGGAAAGTTTTATTCGCTGAGAGAGAGAGCTTCGCTGAATTTAAGTAGCTAGTATACTTGAGATGTCTTGTGTGTTCGCTTTGGAGGCCGACGAGTATCTCCAGTTTCTCTTGGTCAAATAGCTCGGCTACTTTTGCTGGCACTGCTTTACCGATTCGCTCGACGTAGATCGGTCGGCCCTCCTTATCTACGCCTCCCCAGCCTTGCGGATAGCAGCTCTGTATCTCCCGATCGAGCTCTGCGACGCTTGCGTACTCGCGTAATCGCGACCACATGTACTTGTGCTCCGGCACACGACCGCATGGTCCACTGGAAGACGAAGGTGCAGGAGCTCCTCCCGCTGCTCCTCTATCACTAGAAATTCTACCTCCGGTCGTTGTGGATGTTGCATGTTGGGTTGTTGACGACGAGGTGGACGATGTTGCTCTATTTGTTTCTTCGTACATGTCGGTCTTGACGCCAACCCTTGTTTTCCAATTTACGTAGTTTTCGATTTGCTGGGCCGCGGCGTCCACGTCGCCCTTCCGCGCGCGCAGAAAGCGCATGTAGTCGTGCTTGGCGAAGCCGGTGGGCACCGGACGCGACTCGAAGGCGCGTTCCAATTCCGCGATGGCATAGTCAAACACCCTGGCCGCGTCGCCTAAATGCAAATCTGTTTGATCCTCGATCTTCATCCCCGACTTCGTTCGAGGATGAAACGGATTTGCATTCGTTGATGTGCCTTCGAAACCCTGGCGGCCCACTGGACCACCTGGAGGCGGGGCTTCCTGCTCAGAAGCTGTTGATGAACGCGCCATACTGTGCTCTTCTGTATCCAAATAGGTAGGTGTTGGAAACTGACAACTACACAGCACCAAATTCAGACGACAACAGATCTTTTCGTTTTGTTCGGTCGACGTTTGCTCGTTGAAGATGTACAAGAAATGTTTGTTGTAGTTGGTGATTTTTATGGGACAAGGTGGAAGACCAACATGTGGAAATCAGTGAATCAGTGGGAAAGGATTCTGTGCTAATTATGTGCACTCATATTAATGCTCTCAACAACTGTTCGTACGTAAACCAAGAACGTAGTTGTATCGCGAGAAATTCAGCGCCCAGCGTATAAACTCAACAAATCATGTAAACAACTTGGCGCACCAGTAGGTGAACTCAGTTTGAGTACTATCACAGTACTAATTCAGTTGTAATCTCCTTCGAGGAGAACACAAACGGCAATCTCCTTATGCTGAGAGTAAAACTACAACTAAGTAATGTTGATGAAGATCTATTTGAAAATGGGGCAGGTCTAAGGGAACCGTGTATTGGGAGGAAGCGAGGAATCACGACAATGAGTCTGCCAGAATCATGATGGGAAGGGTTTAGGGTTTGATGAAGAATGCCCGAAAAAAAAATGTATATTCCTACGTGCAAAAGTAGATGTGGTGAGACCAACATCTAAAATCAAGCTAAAAGACGCGTTTATGAACAGCACCAAACAAGTTGATGTTGAAGTTTCTTAATACCAAATTAGTAGGATGCTCTCATGTCATGTCCTCATGGTGCCTCTTTTATAGCAATAGGTGTCTATGTGTGAGGCCATTCAGTGAATTACCTCTCTCAACATGGAGACAGAATAGTATGGTCAGCACCTCTCACTCCTCCTGGGGGACAGAAACACGAGCATTACGAGTGTCGCTCACACACATCATGATCACCTCAGATTTCAGGGAACACTTTTTTTGGGAGGGTTTTTTTTTTTTTGTATCCCAAGACCGCCGGAAGGGTAACTTGATGACATTTTTTTTGCAAACAAAAAAACCTCTCTCTGTGAGTGTTACCTCTCCTGCTTCCTAGTCTATTATTAAGCTATAATTTTTCATCTTTCTAAGGTGCAAAAACTGTAACGCGCGCGCGCGCGTTACGCGCGCGGGTTACGCGCGCGCGCGCGTTACGCGCGCGCGTTATAACGCGTTACGCGCGCGCGCGTTACGCGCGAAATAAGGCGCGCGCGTTACATGCGCGCGGCGCGCGCGC